ACTCGAGGAGATATTCGGTTGTTTGACGAACTGCTAAAACAAAGAATGTAAATTCGTACGGCATACAAATGAACAGCCACGAAGCGAAAGAAATCAGAATAAAGATGAAGGAAGGAGAGATGAAGAGAAGCGTGAGATAGGTCGTCTCGGCGCAGGAATTGCTCTTCAGTCGTTACTGCTGGGACCATCTAGAGAGCTCGACAAACACTCGATGCACCTCGCACGATTCTCTCTGAAAGCACGACTACCATTGTTGCCGTGTCATCTCTTTGGTCCCGGGCCATTGTCCTTCGTGCACCGATCGCGTCTCATTTCGATAGTCTCTTTAGCCGTCGATTAATCGAGACGATCGCCAATCGTATATGAAGAGCAAGAAGAGAGATCGGGCAGTAAGAGTCTCCATAAAAATCTGCTGGAAGCATGCAAGAAATGGTAGCCTCGATGTATAGTAATCTTAAAAGTCCATAAAAGGATTTCAAACTGTCCGCGCGCACGCTGCGGACTCAGCTCTCACTGTCTGAGAATTTAAATCCTTGGCGATCAGCGGAATTGATAAAAGTACGAAACACGACGTCGACCGTGTGTGGGTGTCACGGGGGGTTACCGTCGAGGCGGAAGTGGCTTCCTGGAAGATCAGCTGACGCCTGGGCGGTTCGTTTTGTTGCGCGGTGAATGGAACATTGGGGACCCACTCCCGAGGCCCTCGAATGCGGCCGGCATGCGGACGGCGGGAACGTCGGGAAGGAGGCAAAGGGTGGTGGATCGCGAGAGAGGAGGGGGTAAAGCAACGAGCACGTTAAAACAAGAAGATTGGAATAAAAGGTTGGCCTGACCGCGGGAAGGTAAAGCCAGAGCGGGCCCGGAGGTGGAGAAGAAACGGAGAAGAAACCGGTGGGGGCGGGGCTCCGTCTGCGGATGCTGGTATGGAGCCCAGTCCTGCTTCGCACACCATCTTCCTTCATCTCGGACCCAACCCCCTTTCGAGACAGCAGTACGTGGCCCATCTTCGGGTTCCTTTGCTCCCGCCGTTTCTTCTACTTTAACGTGCTTCTCCTCTTCACCTTTCTTTATCCTCCTCCACCTCTACCTCCATCTCCCTCCTCCTCCTCTTCCGTCTCATCTTCCTCTTCTGCTCCTTGACCTCCACACCCTTGGCCAGCGTCTCCAACTGTTCGGCAACTCTCCGACGTCATTTGTTTCAACGTCCCACTCCTTTGTTCCTGGCGATGGCTCGACAATTTCGCGGACGTTATCTGGGATTTAACGAGCCGTAACATGCACCGAGGGCAATTAGTACCATGCCAAACAGGGAAATTAATATCGCTTTAATGTTGCTACGTTGATTATATACCGCGGGACACACGCACGCGAGCGAAGTCTCGCGGACGCGCGAGAGTTAACACGGGTTTACCAACACGTTTAAGCGATAAGATACGAAATATGTAAACGAGGTGTAAGCGACATGCGCTTCGTAATTAGTGGCCATCGGGGCCGAGTGATGAAGGGGAGATAAAATAACATCGGGGCAGAACGCGGAGAGAGCATCCTTCACACAACGCGACTCATCATCTCCCATCAACCTGACTGGTTTCTCAGCTACTGGCAGCCCGCTATTCATAACATCATGGGTGTATATGTGTGCATATGTGTATATGCGTGTGTATATATGTGTGTGTGTGTGTGTGTGTGTGTATGTGTAAACCTTTTATTCGTGCTTGTGAGGATTAATTGGACCTAATTTACCTCCCATAAGAACTAAAAATATCGATAAACTTTTATAAATAATAATCGTGTGTCCCGTTATTACTTATTATACAGTATATGTGCAAAAGCCAGAAAATTTGCCACATTGTTAACCGTTGCTCTCGTTTTCGATTTGATCGAGGACCATTATAATAAGTGGCCGAGCGATATTCCGAATGACGATGCTCCTTCAAACGATTTCCAGGAAACTTTCATCCTCATACCCCTCACAGAAATTGGGATTGGCCCAATTCCATTAAGGTCCTTTCTGTGAACTAAAGCCGCGGCTTCCCTTTTGCGTTTCACACGAACAGTCGTTTTCGGGATGTTCGGCGCGCGTACAAGCACTCTCGGTTCTGAACTTTTTTCAATTTCCGCCGCAGTTCTTTTCTTCCTCCCCCTCCCTCTCCCCCACCTTCGCGTAACACTCCTTATCCCTAATGTATTACGGGCCCGGTCATTTTTTACTCGAAATGGATTTTCATAAGACCCCGACATTCTCGGCTTTGGCCAACCGCGCGCGCACTCCTTCTCACTCCATCATATCCTGTATCTCTTCAACTCCGCCAAAATATTTGTAAATAGATGTAAAGTCTGGGAGGGGCCCAGGGGGTACCCTGCTGTGCGAACAAGGCTCCCCATAGCGCACTACGGCCGATATATCTCTCGGGCCCTTCACCATTCTTCCCTCTCTTTATATGAGACTCCTTCGCAGCCTTTTATACCTCCCCCTCCTCCATCTTCTTCGTCTTCTTCTTCTTCGTCGTCTTCTTCTTCTTCTTGACTCCGTCGTCATTCTCATGCTCTATTACCTCGGTTCTCATCGTGCATCGTGCAACGCGGGGACTACACACGAAAGTCAAAGGCGCATGAAAAAATTTTCGAGGATCGATTTTTTGATTACAATCTTTGTATCAGGAATTTATATTCGATATTTTGGTGACAGGTGAAATCGGAATATATGCATTCCTGCATACTCCTGAGTTCTGCCTTCATAATCCGTTCGACAATATCTATACGTGGAGAAGCAGCCCCTACAAAGCTGAAATATCTTATTTCAATCTATAAAATGATTGATTTATTTTAAATCGATTTTCTCCAAGCGAGACGTAACGACGATCCTCCGTTTTTACGCGTCGGAAATTGTATGACAAGTCGATCGAAAGTTGACCGTATTATGATATAGCCGAACCAGCAACTTCGGCTATAAATTTCGCGAAATGTATTACACACGAGGGAATTAAAGGTCGCCTATTGAGTGCGGATCTACGGCTCCGGATAAACTCCGCTCATACAGAGGTTCATTTGAACCTCGGGGACTTTAATGGAAATTCATCCGACAGCCGACGGGCGTGCAATTCACTTGCGGCAACTCGCGTGCACGTGGCGTGAAGGTTTCCACCGGCGAGAGAATCCAAGCCCGTGAGCGCGAGGAAATAAAAAGGAAGCGAGAAGAGGTGGAGAGGAAAGGTGGGACCGGTCCCTCGAAGGGGGAGACGAGAGGGCCGTCGTCTGCACTCAATAGGGGCTAATTGCCGCAAGGAAAGCTGCAAATTCGTGGACATTGTTAGCTCCGTTCCATTCTCGGTTAGTGTCGAACGGGTCTCATTGTGGCCGCGCGGATCGCGAGCTGCAGCTTCGTGTCCGGCGCACACCATCGGGTTGCGTACCGCCATTGAAATGCCTGCACGAGAATGAAAAGGGGTGAGACGGTAACTCCGCCGGAGTGTGTAAAATTCGTCGCGGCCGCAGCGCGTTCTCGCGCGCGATCGACAGGCTCCTCACGACGCGGACGCGAACGGACGAATTCTTCACGCGCGCGACGGGCCTCTGCTCCCTTCACCCCTCTCCCTCGCTCCATTGCAAAAGTCGATTGTGCCCTCCCGAAAATTATCTTCTTCCGCACACTCGGCCGAGAATAAAAAGTGCGAAAGAAGCCCCTCCGGCAACTCGGGGGAGAGGACCCGCTCGATTTACACCGAGCGCGCGCGTTCACGCACAAGCGAGCCTGTCTGTGTCCTGATCAGTCATCCGCATGATACTGCCCTGCGTGGGCGATTGCCCTCCGAGAATCGATTTGAACACGGGCCTCGGACGCCTCGAATACCCTTCGACAATGCCGCCGCTTCAGTCAATGGGGACTCCCTTGCGTCTTTGGCTTCTCGCGCCCTCGATACGCCGCGTTCCGGATTAAGTCCGGGGTTTACATGGGTCCTATGCTATTGGGGCCCCTGTCTCACTGAGTCGGCTATCCATGCTTCGTTACGAGAACGTATACCCTATTGACTCACTGGAGCACCGCCTGGCTGTCGTCGTCGTCGACGTAAAGGTAGACAATGAGAGAGAGAGAGAGAGAGAGAGAGAGAGAAATGATTCCAGGCAAGGGGGGAAGCGGCTCGGCGTGACTGAATGATCCTCGACATCGGCTGTATTTATATTCCTGTTTGCCCGCTGATTCGCCACGGATCTGAGTCCGTTAAAGTCTCTTAAAGATCCAGGACGGATCTCGTAACCGGTCAAAATACGCATTCGTTTTCCTAACCGGCGATTCTCGCGACAGAGCTATTGCTCTGTACCTGACGCCACTGGTCACGAGGAAGGCCTCCTTTTTCCGCGCGCACCATGAAATCGGCCGAATTCCTCGAGCTTGGACCGGAGCCGAGCCGAGCCGAACCGTTCTGCGCGACGTTTTCAAATGTGACGGAAATCGTATTAAGTGGAACTAACCGGAAAAGTGGGTTGGAGATGAAGAGTTTCTCGCTGCGAGAAAGAAAGCCGGCTCGAATCTTAAATTTCCAAATATATACTTAGTCCGAATTCTAAATAATGCCAAAAATAATCTTCTGAAAGTAGGCTAGGAGAATTATATAAATATAGTGTGTTTAAATCAATATTTTAAATCCTTAAAAATACATTTCAACGTGTCAAACTGTTTGGACCTATGACATCAAAATAAACGTAAACAAAATAATATAAAAGCGTTTCTTAATATCCGTATTGCTTAGACAACTAGAATATACAAGTTATAAATCTTGTTACTAAATTTCTAAGATTAAGCTTAAGTCACGTGCATACACATCTGAGGAAAGCATGATTTTTACTTCTTTCCATTAGAGCACCCAGTTAAAAATGATTGGTCAAATTGTCGACGAATCAGTGCCATCGACATCGATTGACATCGATTTGTCTAATTATTTCTATCTCGGAGTAATTACACTCCATCGATCTGTTATTAATTTTGAAATGTAATATTACAGAGGTGCAAGGAGAAACTCAACACTTTGGCGATTTCGGTGATGAACCAATGGCCCGGAGTGAAACTGCGAGTGACGGAGGCCTGGGACGAAGATAATGCGCACGCGATAGATTCTCTGCACTACGAGGGACGAGCCGTCGATGTAACGACGAGCGATCGCGATCTCTCCAAGTACGGGATGCTGGCGAGACTCGCGGTTGAGGCTGGCTTCGACTGGGTCTACTACGAATCCAGGTCGCACATACATTGCTCCGTCAAGTCTGGTTAGTAGTTTTCGTTATATCGCACGGAACGCATCATCAAATCGAGCCCGAAAGAGCGTGCGAATTGCGATCGATTTGTGGTCGAACTGCTTCGAATCGCATTCGAACATAGCGAGAGCATTAGAAGCGGTCGATCCGCGGTGGACCGCGTGTGGATTTTAATTGCGGTCATTTCGCGTTAATACCCGCATAAACGCCGCGTCAATAAAGATGAGCGTATAAACTACCGGACGGTAGTTGTAATGATGTCGTGTTTTATGCAATAAAGACACTGCAGTTGTGTAATAACGTCGTTTAATGGAACAGGGATACTAAAATCACGCTGTTCTTAAATCTTGCGAGTGACAAAGTAACTTGGCGCCTTGGAGTGTGTACATATCATCTATATGGCGACATAAAATCGTTTAACTTTAATTTACTGACGTAATCTAACTAGGAGCATTGCACTTAAAGTACATGAAGTAGATTAATTTTTCTAACAAATATCTAATTATCTAACCGTAATTAAATAAATATCGCGTATTTATCTACTTCTCTCGTAAAAATTGGCGCTACTACCCTTGTATATTGTTCTTAAGGGGATGCCTATTTTACCGACTTTTTCTTTACTATGACGTGATAATATTATATTAGAAATGTACGAAATCAAATCATTCAAATTGATTCATTCAAATCATTCTAATTATTTCTGTCAAGTTTGATTTAGTTCAGATAATCGATTAATTAAATCACTTGAATATTTCAAATATATATGGATACTTTTATATCTCAGGAATTTTATTAGACTTTTTAAAGTAATCTGTTTCATCACGTGAATTATATTCAGGTTCAATTTAAATTTAAATAAATTCAATTCAAAACGAATCGAACATCGGATTCAAATTTTCTCACAGAAAAACATCAAATAACACGTAGCCGAGCGACACTACTCGTCAATCTCTGTTATCCTGTTAATGAAGAACAACTTTCCAAAAATTTCAAACAGATTACGGAAAAATTTATAACATTTCCATCATATAAATAATGAGATATGAAAGAAATACCTGAATACGCCAAAAGATGGCTCCTGTAGTATATTTCAATAGCATCGCTAATTTAATACTTTCATTTCAAAATCACGATTTTTTTCGTATTTCGAGAAATGCTCCTCACAGTGAAATAATTGTTAATCACGAAAGAACCTTGTCGCGCATCTACTTTCTCTTTCGATTCGACAATATTTAGGTACCTGCATGAGAGCAATCAGCGATTCGTGTTCGTTCCAGGCCACGGTTGGGTCTCGAATTTCAAAATAAATGCCGATAAATCAAGGCGTGCCTGTCGGTCCGAATTAAAACCGAGCATAGAAATTGGCGCGAAACCGATACGAGTCGATGTTGAGGGGAACGAAAAGGGGAAACAATGGGGTGGAGGGGAACCGAAGTGTGTAACAAAAAGTGCGAACGCGATCCACGCGTGTTTAACGCTCCGCCAATTTTCACCGTAATCATATTAATTAATCGACAGGCGATTGCGTGGACGCTTAACGAGTGACGACACTTACATCCTCTTTGCACCGTAATCTTAGCATTTTCGATTTTATAATGCATTCCAGAAAAATTACGTTAAAGGATATTCTATTTGAAAACTTTATTATATTTATGAATTCCTTCTATATTCGTAATTTTAGCCCTTAAAATATGATTTTAATTACGCGTTGCTTAGCTCTGTCACGCGCGAATTCAAAGTTTAAGAATATCAATAATGATTTTTATTTTGATATACACATTCTTACCTTTCGCTGTCTTATCGTCTCTATGTACGTCTCGTTTTCAGAATCATCTTCAGCGGGCAAGTCTGGTGGTTGCTTTCCCGGGGGGAGCCTGGTCCGAACGGAGGATGGCAGTACGAAGAGGCTGGACGAGGTGCACCTTGGCGAGCGTATCGCCGCTCTGGACTCCCGTGGCGACGTTGTGTACAGCGAGGTGATCGCTTTCTTGGATCGTTCTCCATCCGAGAGGAGACAGTTCGTCCGAGTGACGACCGAGTCCGGTCGGGTGCTCACGTTAACGCCGGCGCATCTGGTGCCGGTGGAGGGTCGGTCGTCGGTGTTTGCCGGCAGCGTGCAACCCGGCGACAGGATCCTCGTGAGCGACATCGACGCGGCGATCGCGACGAACGAGGTGGACAGTCGTATGCGATGGGACAGCGTCGTCGAGACGAAGTTGGTCCTCGAGGAAGGTGTTTACGCCCCGCTTACGATGGAGGGCACCCTCCTCGTAGACGACGTCGTCGCGTCCTGCTACGCCGTCGTCAACAGTCAGTCGGTGGCGCATTACTCCTTCCTGCCGCTGAGGATTTGGCACAGCGTGACATCCTTTTTCTTGCAAAGGCTGGACGACGCGAAACACTTTGTGGCGAGACACAGCAATGCGTCCGGAACGGAGCCGACGGCGGGCGGAGAGCAAGAGGGTGTCCACTGGTACGCTTCGATGCTCTATTCGCTGTCATCCTACGTGTTGCCGTCGAAGATGCTCTACAACTGAGATCATCGATAGGAACAATAAATCTCGTGCTCCGAATAAAGTGCCGAGTGAATCATCAAGTGTTCAGCCCAAATGACACGAATTCTAAAGACTTTTTGAAACTACGAAACTTAGGTGTTTTGATTAATCATCGGGATGTCGAGCCTTGTCTTTCGCCTTGAAACTTTCTTTTTTATAGATCGTCGTCATGGATTCCGGTTACACGCGTATCGTCATCGAAGACAGTTAACGTAATTTAACCGCGGGGATGGAGTCCCCGTTGTGAAAAATGCGTGTATAATTTATAATTCGTAGAACAAAAGTCATCGTAAGCGAAAGGCATAAAGTTGGCCAGTGACCTACCAGTGTTCACCGAATGACGTGTATTATATTAGATCTTTAGGACGATAAAAAAAATAGATGGAAAACAGAGCTTTAGGGAGAATCGGAACTTTTCTCTTCATTTTAAATGTATGTATCCAATATACCGATATACAAATATTTCTTCTCTATTTCTTAGTATTCGCGAATCGTGTGCGTCTCGTCCGATATACTTGTTTCCAAGAGGTCGAAGGAAAATTGCCTTTGCGTCACGGAAAAAGTGTGTAAGATAATTGCCGACTGTTTTGTTATAATGTTATTCTAAACGATCTTTCGGATGTATGTGCGAGCAGCAAGAAAGCGTCTATATTTAAATATTCATTGTTGAACTCAGAATTAATTTAAAGGAATGAAGAGGTATCTTTATTTTAAGTAGAACCTACAACGCGTTCTTTGCGAAATAATAAAACATTGTATATATTTCGCTTTTTTTATTCTTCCCCCTTCTTCTAACGCAATGAGAAGGGAGTTCATACGTGTTTCTCTTTTCTATTCATTCTATTATTGCTTGTATTCCATATATAATTTAATGTTATATATCCAAAAATTATGTAATTATGGGTCTATTCAGTCAAACTGCATTTTCTTTCTTTTGAAATAAAATTAGTGTAGATTTGGACTTTCGAAGAAAATAAAATGGAAGAAACAAAGTGCAAAAAAGTGTGCGACTAAAAAAACAAACATTATCTTATAGATATTTATTGTCACTCTCGGTTGTGGCAATAATTATCAAGTGTACTGCTGTATAATAATGTTAAATCGCGTTGCTCGTCGTGTCATATTTTTAACAATAGTCAATTATAATCAACACGTTAACAAAAGTTAATTAATTATTTTAATAATATAAGGACTATTTTTCATTGAGTAACATAACTTAAATTATCATCAAAATATTATATATTATATATATTATATTATATATTATAATAATTATTATTTCAATTATATTATTTGTATATTGTAGCACACAAACAAATTATAAATTATGTATATATATATATCCCTTCCCAAAAAATTAAATTACATTATTAACGAAAGTAGATCTTCGTGTCTTGTTATTTTTACATAGCTATTGTATTAATTAAATAAGTTAGACAATTTAATTAAATAAAAAAAGACATAATCCACTATATTTTGCAAAAAAGGTATAGAAAAATTAAATCTTCTGTATATTATACTTAAAGAATAATTCTCTCCTTCCCTCTCTCTCTTTCTCTCTCTCTCCTCCTTTTATTTCTGAAATTTACTTTAAAAATTCTAAAAGCAACTTCATTTCTATACTATTAATAGATCAAGAAACAAAATGTAAATAACACAAAAAATATCTTCGATACTTTTTTGTTCTAAAAATTTTGTATTTAATGCCTGAATTTTTTGCGATTCGATTTATTATTTCAGAAATATATCTTATTTTACATAATCGTGAGAAACAATTATTATCTAGCGATCACTCGTAATGGCGGATAATGAGACAATAGCCGGAACAGAGGACGAACTTGAACATGTAAGATTAAGAAATATTGACAGCCGATTAATTCTCTCTTTCTCTCTCTCTCTCTCTCTCTCTCTCTTTGTTTCTTTTTACTTTAATCTCTTTCAATATTTGTAAAAAAATATAAATTTGATATATGACACTTCTAGATTTATTTCAAGGTTATTTTATTGCAGCATCCCGGTGTGATTTTTCCGCATTTGCAAGATCTCGAGAAAAGGTTCTTCGAAATTGTCACCGACGGAAGCGTCACCGAAGCACGATTATTCCTGGAGAAACATCCGGATTTCAATATAAACGCCATCAATTTTCAAGTAAGCTGTACTTATGTAAATTTGTAACTTTCCAATTCTGAAGGAGCATAAAATATTGATATAAAAGAAAATACGGGTGACTCACGAAAATTGAAGAAGTTCATTTACGCGGAATCAAAAGTATATTAACTCATTTCCTAATTTACAGTTAAATATCGATTCATCGGTTCACGAAAATTATGAACAATGGTTGCAAATATTATTTGCAAATGCCATTGGCGATGCTAAATTACACTATAGCGGAATGTGTTTTCCATGGACCATCCATGGTGCTTTTCATAAATCACTAGCCACTATGTTCCGTTCATTTTCTATCTGATTTCGTTGGACTACCCACGAAGCCGCGCGAACGGCGTGCTTCAAACCAAACTCTTAAACAGCTCGTAAAGATTTCCGAATTTACCTTTCTCGTCACCGGCTTTTTGTGATTTAAACGATACCGCCATTCATGTTAGAATTCATCGAAACGACGACACGTCAAAAGAAGAATACGCTTTTCGCATTTTCGGTGTTCAGGTCAACTTTGTCAATCTTTTCTTTAAGACCGCCTAGTGCTAATAATTTAAAATGTTCTACCGTTTTTCGATTTTTACATGTTTTTACTTGTTTACTTGACGCTCAGCAAAAAGAGAATCAAGAAGGATAAATCGAAGTATAGATTTAAAGTGGCATGTTAATATCACTCACTCTAATAGTAATTTATTAAAAAATATTATCTAATGCATAATTTTTCAGAAAAATTTTTAATTTCTATGAAAACTTCGGTAAAAGTTTTTGTATAATTCATAAATATTTATTTATATATCTTAAAGCGAATCTAAATGTTTTAAAGTCTTTGACAAACTCGTGTGGTTTACCGTGTGCAAGAAACGGCGGAACCAATACAGGAAGAAGGGAGACAAAACGAAGAGAATGAAGGCGATGCGAAGTCCAGTTATCTCAGATCTTTACCCTATAGAAGAACACGTACCCCCCGTGGAATGTTTCCTTCATCCATTCGGTCGGCACCGGTAACCACCTCGGTGTGTTCCCCCTTTCTCTCTCTCCTCTCTTCCTCCTCCTCCTCCTCCTCCTCCTGCTCCTCTCTCTCTCTCTCGCTGAGAGGGTTCCAGAAAAGCGACCAAACTCTCGTTTGACTTTGAGACCGAAATGCCGAAGCGGCACGAAGAGAGACGGCACGCGAATGGAAGGAGAGGAAGAGAGAGAAAGGGAGAGAGGGAGGGAGGGAGGGAGAGAGGAAGAGAGACAGAAGAAGGAACTCGATGGAAGAAAGAGGGAAGAACATAGAGAGAGGAGGAAGCCAAATGTTCTCCGTGTATCTCCAGCCATATTTTAGGCCGTCTTTTTACAAGACAATGGTTTCAACCGAGACCTGATAAAAATTATTCAAATAGCTCGCCCCGCTGTAAATTCTGTATGGGAATTCCCTCGAACATCGGAAGCTCTTCCACGATCCACTTGTGTGCCTTATCGCGATCTACGGTACATCAATAAACTTCGCGATGCTCCAATTTGACCCGTTGCTTTCTGGCGGGACTTTTAAGTCCTTTTAAACGTTTTTTTTCTATAAAATAGAAACGTAATATAAAAAATATAAAGTTAAGCCTCTCGTAAAAGGATTATCGCACATTAACCCAAGAAAACACATCTCGATCATATTCTGCCCCGAGTGTTTTCGCTCGCCGTTTATTCTTCACAGAAGAAAATTCGCAAAAACAAATGACAAACAAATATTTAGTCGGGCGTAAAATCTGGCCGAGTCATGGCATTAAAAAGGCGGCAGCTGTCTATTGTCAGGGGACAGCTAACAAGGACTCTTTGCCGAACATATATCACGGACTGTTATTGTCGTTAGGCGTGTGGATGTACACGGATATTCCCAGGGGCCTGTCGAAAAGCCAAAATATCAGTGAATATTGTGACTGGTGTCGGCGACAACAATGGTGCTGACCCATTGTTGGGGCCCGCCTCTGTAAACGCACCGCAGATGGGCGAGAAACGTCGTCGAGCCATTCTTCCTACAAAAAGGGACACGACCGAGAAAAAGAGTGGAGTCGATAGCCTTCTAAAAGTCGATCTCACTGTAGGAAGAGACCGTGGACTCGCGGCGAGAAAGAATTCCGGGAAAGTTCAGAAATTTTTCGGTCATTCAACTATCATGGAGTACCGCTTTCATCTTCGCGCTTTTTCTTATACGTATATCGCTACTTCCGCATCTGATTATCGATAATTATAAATTGCAGGGGCTAATAAGAACTATAGAAATACGGACAGAAAAAAATAGTTTCGTAGATTCGTCTATTGTGTTTCGTATTATTCTTGTTTTTTTCCTAATCTTTTTTCCGAACTTATGAATAAGCGAATTTCCCTCGTCAATTAATTGAATGCGCTTCATTTTCAGGGTGTTAGCGCGCTGCATATTGCAGTTAACGAGAGAAACACGGCGATGGTCGAGTATCTGTTGTCTCATCCAGATATCGATCCCGGCGACACGCATCTGCACGCAATCAAAGATAATCAAGGGAGAATTGCTGTGCTGATATTGAATAAGCTGAATGAATTGACGCCGGGCTTCGAATACGCCGGTGTCACTCACAGCCCTGATTTCCCGGACGATACAACGCCGCTCGCGGTGGCGGCACAATACGGGCGCTTCGAGATGATTGATATGCTCAGATTCCGACGTCACATTCTGCAGAAACCGCATCCGCCTAGTTGCAACTGTGACGAGATTTGCAAGTACGATACCATTGTACATCGGACTGTTTTAAACCAACATTCGCAAATTTAGTTTTCTTCAAGTTACGATAAGTTGAGAACACTCCGCAATTAAATAATTAATTCCATTCATATACATTTACCATTCTTTCTTTTTTACTTTTCGCAGACCGGAAAGAGAAAAAGGTGATATCGTGACTATGGTAAAAATGAGATTGTTTATGTATAAGGCAATATCGAATCCAATATACATTTGCCACACCGAAGAAGATCCGATCTTAGAAGCTTTTAAATTATCGGTCGAGCTTATTAAAGAAGCTTCGTTTGATAAAGAGTTCTATCCTGATTACATGGCATTGTCCGATGTTAGTGAAATCTTATTCCTTAATCAAATTCGATATTAATAATTATCGGTAAAATTGTTCATTTAATTACGTAAGGAGAAACAGACAGAAGATAATAAATTATATCCTATTATTAATATATATATATTTTGATATCTGCAACGTATCAAGATACTATCTGTTACTTATAAAAAGCCAATAATCCTAGTTTTGTGATAAAGGAGGTGTCTCAATTCGCCACAGACTTGATCGGATGCGCTCGTACCGCCGAAGAAGTCGAATGTGTATTAAGACAAATCGCTGGTTTCGGCCGTACCTCGACTTTCGAATATCCCCGACTCTTACTAGCTTTAGATTGCGAGCAAAAAACCTTTGTGGCTCATCCGAATGTACAACAGGTATCGCAACAATGTCATAATTGCATGTGTGAAGTTAGCACCCTAATAATAGAATTCTATAGTTTTGATTAGAATTCCCGCTACATTTTGAAGAGACAAAGAGTTTCCTATATAATTTATAACAAGCCGTTCAGAACTATTTCTTCATTAATTTTGATAGAAAGTTAGCACTCCATTTTTTTAAAATTCAAATTAATAATTGTTATTAAGCAAAACTCTTGTTATAAACTATAGGGAACTCTTCGTCTCTGCAAAATAAAGCGGGAATTCTAATCAGAACTATTGAATTTTAATGTTAAGTGGTGCTAACTTCACACACGCGTGATAATTAATATTTAGATACTAATGAAGTATATAGAAAGCATTACTGTATCAATTTTCAGTTAATTTTCAGGCACAGAATTATTTTATAAAAGTACATTACAAAGGCGGCGACGAAAGTTTTGTCGCAAATTAAAAAATTTTATGAAGAAGTTATATTTGATTTTCTTTCAGCTCGTTGAAAGCAAGTGGATTGGCACGTGGCATGATTGGAAGGTCAGAAGCACGTGGTTGAAGTGCTTGACGGTAATTCCGCGGATCGGCATGCTACCAATCATGGCGTTCGTTATGTTGCTCGCACCGAACTCGAAACAAGCCAAGTTCTATGAAATCCCGGTTAATAAATTTCTCTCCTCCGTGGCGAATTACCTGATATTTCTCACGTTCGTGTTTTTGCAATCGCGTAGCGACAAAACTGAACAGCTTCGCGGACCACCCAATACTGGTGCACGTCTAATTAAGATTAAACTTAGATCTCTCACATATTTTATTATTTTTTTAAGTCAACTTATTTCTTCAGGATACGAATGGGTTCTCGCTATTTACGTGATATCATACGCAGTTGCATTCGTTCGACTCTGCATTGTGGATGGTCTGATTAGATGCTTTAGAACACGTACAAACTGGTAAGATGAGAACACTGATAATTAATATTGAATCTTAAACGTAAAGACTCATGTTGCAAATTTAATTCATGTTGCTAATTAATACATATAATTTACAATGCAGGTATGAGCTTGTTATGCTCGTGCTGTTCATTCTGACATTTCTCTTCTGGATAGTTGCCGCATTGGACGTTAGAATAAATGGTCAACGTGACTTAGAAAGAAAATACTGGCACAAATACGATCCGACTTTGATAGCGGAAGGGATATTTTGTGTCGCGGCAATTATGGCCTTCTTTAAATTGTTGTTTATCTGTCAGTTAGATTATGATCTAGGACCTTTGCAACTTTCTTTAGTTAAAATGATCAGAGACGTTGGCCATTTTGTCGCGATATTCGGTATCATTGTTATGGCATTCGCAGTTGGTAAGATATATAGCACGTGTATTAAGCTGTGTAAAAAATCTCTTTGAATCAATCAAATAACTACATGTGTTTTTTTCTCTTTAGCAAAATATATGTAATTTTAACATAAAATTATCCCAGAGCTTCTTAGATTAAAAGAATTAGTATCTGCAAATCTACGAACAAAATCAGCTTAAAAGAGTTCAAAAAAGCTTTTTGCACAATATTTTTTTTAATAGTCCAACGTTTTTTATGCACTTATGAGACGTATTTCTTCAGGATTGTGCCATCTCTATCAGTATTATAACGGAATGGTGCAGACTGATGACGAATCAAAACTGAAGACGGAGCAAGAAAGTTCCTTCGTCGATTTCAAGTCCACTCTAAAGACTCTCTTCTGGGCTGTTTTCTGCATGAGTCCCGTAGAAAGCGCCGATGTGATCATCGAAAATCTTCCAGGTGAAAGGGAGTCAGAGACAATAATCAATCATCATAACTTCACCGAATTTATCGGCTATCTTGCTTTTGCCAGTAAGTACACTTATCACTTCATCAATACTGACAAATCCATAAAAATACATTTTATCAAGATAAACTTTTTAATAACTTGCCTCTTGTTCGTCAGGCTTCCAATTTATTTCCGTGGTAATCGTTTTGAATATGCTAATTGCGTGTATGGCGAATACTTTCACCAAAGTGACTGATAACGTCAATGTGGAGTGGATCTTTGGTCGCACTGAAGTTAGTGAATACTCATACAAGTAAATACGTTCATTTTTCATATTTTCAAAACAAAGAGTGTTTTTTTTTTCGAACTGTGTGCTCAAAGTAAAATATCCGATAAATGAGAGAGGCGTGTGAAGTTCAGAGTAAAATAAATTGCGAATCATTTACAAATGTCAAAGGTATACGACCCATCGCTCCACTTTTTCAGGCTTACGTCGATTTCATGCTCACAACAACGCTCCCACCTCCATTCTGCATTTTCTCGATTTTCACGGGATTGCGACCAGTGATTGAGTACATAAAAATATTGATTAAACCGCCACCTGGCAAACGGGCACGATGGGATTTTATAAATTGTTGCTACATAGTCAGTATAATCAACCAAATCCCAATGCTGATTTAACGCTAATGCTAAATCAAACAATCAATTATTAAATCGCAAAGCAGAAACATTTCGCATTGAATAATATTTTGTTCCTCTTTATAATTTAATTTGTTTAATTCGTATTTTAAAATATTTATTTAGAAGCGTCATTGTGCTGTCACGATTTATAATCAATAAATAAAAGCAGAGACGTTCGCTTCGATTTATTTAACCCGTATTCCGTTGTAGGAGGATCTAGAAGAAAAAAAGGACAATCGATTCGCAGAAGTCATGACGCAACTGGTGCAACGTTATCTTCGTCAACACGAAAAGAAAGTGGAAGAAACGGACGTGCAAAAGCTGAGAAACGAACTGATAGAATTCAGCAATATTCTGAAGGAGGCTCTTAGTCCATCTTAAAAGATATTTTATTGATATTTCATCTCAAAGAGACATTTCTATTTACGTCTTCATATTAATTTCGTAATTCTTTGCACAGTATGTATCAGAAAGCGTGACAAAACTTAAATATCCGTAACAAAGATTAATAGTTTTTAATTTATATAGAAAATAAGAAATATTCTTTATCAGCATAAATAGAGGTACTTTACTTTCATAATTTAATTTATGGATTAATGAACAAATTATAATAAATAAATTGTAACACACAAGCGAAAAGATATCACTTCTTAAATAGAGCCGTTTGATGTTCGAAAAATACTCTTCGAAAAAAATTGCATATTTCTTCAAAAAAAGGAAAGGACAGCTTACGTATGTATAAGGGAGAATATGCATGATGGATTTTGCACATGTGATCGGAAGGCGTCGACAGTTTTCGCCATTATGCAAAAGCAATTTCCCATAGTGAGCGACTGTTAATCTAATTTGCATGCAACTTCCACTAGAGATTGGCAGAGAATGTCGGAAGGGGTGGATTGACATATTCGGCAATCAGGGGAAGGAGGTCGCGCGTGGGTTCGAAATGACAAATCGAAGCAACATACATTTCAAGACTGACGAAGTTATCCCCGGGGAATTTATCTCCCTCCCTTTGTATATAATCTTCTAATGAATTATTCGCCGCCAATCCGCTGGTAACCCCCGTTAATAATTCGCGAGAGATAATGCGCGTGTGGCAACGCAATTTACGTTTCATGCGTCAGGCGCAACTAACGAAGCGTATTATATTGCATGTTTGGCCGCCGTTAATAGACATGATTGTGCAACAATTTGTGCAACTTGTTTCCGTTATATAATCTCGTAATATTACGTAATCTTGTATATCTCGCAGGTTTCTTTCTGTTTCATATCTTTTTGTACCTCCTACTTCTAAAATACCCTTCCGTAATCCAGCAGAATCTTCCGAGAACAGAGTTTATACGCTGTATAAATTTTCTTCTATCCTTCAACGTGAAGAGCTCACTCCTAAGGTTTAAGAGAACGTTTCAGCTCTGCATATAGCTAACAATTTTCTAGTACAATCTGCATATCGGGAACCGTTCTGTCCTCAGAGACACGTAGTCCAAAAATTCTAATCTCACTCTAGAATCACTTAACTGAGGATTATGCCCAAGGGAAACGTAATTTGTCGAGGAGAAATAGCGGGATGCTGCCGAAAATTGTGATGAGAGGCAAGCCAAGCAAGTAACAAATGATATTCGGCGAAAGGAAATCTCATTAAGCTGAAGCATGAAAAAAGCTTCTATTCGCTCTCGCGAAATATAGCGAGCAACAGCGTTCGCGTAAAAAATCAACTGAAAAAAGTTTTCGGCAATTTCAAATATAGTGCCGATTAATCGAAAGCTTCGACAGCAGAGGACATTTCGCGCGATAACGAACATTGATTATCTCGTCCATTTCGCGTCAATACAATCAGAGTATTTCAAGGATACGGCTAAAATACGAAGTACATAACTTATTGCTGTCACATATTTTGAGAAAAAAATTATTCATTTATTAAGAATAAACTACTTATTTATATCAAATAAAATTATAATTTTCAAATAAAAATTATAAAATTATTTTAATTTTGTTAATTATCTCCGGAAAACAATTTGTACATTCCTTTACATAATCAGCTCATCAATATAAATTATCATTTTATTAAAAGAATTATAATTAAATCTGTATGCATTAATCTAATAAAAATAATAAATAAAAAAATAGAATAAAATTCTCAATAAGTTAATGCATATAAAAGATTAATAAATGCCAAAGAAATTTGAGAGACAAACAAAAGTTAAGGCAAACAATATATTAAAATATCCTTGAAACATCGATCTATAATGAAGAGACAATAATTGTGCGAAAATATAATTGATATATCTATATATAACGCATTTTAAAGATGAAAAAAGAAATTATTCATACATCGAGGAGAGTTATTTATCAAGGATTGTTATACAGCCCGAAGGGATGAGCGGAACGAGAAGGGATGCGAGTGGGAGGAGAGCAGCAGGAGTTCGTGAGGATGCGCATTACAATGGACTGTTCGTTGTCACAGTTTGCACGCGACACTCGCGCTGTAAACAACGTTTATAATAGAAACTTCTCTGCGTCTAGTATTAACGCATTGAAGTTTTCTCGTTACATTAAAAGCGTCGTTTTTTTTAGTTTGTATGTACACGCGTCAATCCGTCACGTGAAACGCGAAACACGATGGATCGTGAGCTTGAGGAGGGAATTTATTGATTTGACTGTGATTGACGGAAGTCAAGTGACTATAGAAAAAAATTCTGCATGATTCGAAGAATAATTATTGAAATGGTACGCGAAACTCGAAGCTTTTTCTCTGATCGGTCTACCGGTATATCGTGAACCCGATCTTGATGTCTGAACGAAGATTATCAAACGTCTAGCTGTAGATTCCTAAAACGTCGTTGTGTTGAAATAAAACAGAGCGGACTGCTGATATGTGTAGGGATCAGCGCGACGGGAGGACGCTTTGAAAATGTCGAAGAACGGAAGTTCCAATGGCATTCGATCTGCCGAGTCTAAGGTGAATGGGAGCGAGGCGAATGCTTGATGATGCGCACGAAAATCGGACACTCTGCGTCCACGAACCGTGCTAAAGGGGGATGAAGAAAAACGGAGAGCTCTTCGATGTAATAGTGTAGGTGAGGGGAAAATCGTTCGATCGGTGATCGTTTAATTTTATACATACTATAATATATATATATATATATATATATATATATACATGCACATATATTATATATGTGTATACTATTTGTGGCTACATATTATACTATAATCGCTAATCTACTTAGATAAAAATTATGCTAAGAACCGTTTATGCTTATCTCTCATGCTCCGTTTTACTCGAAGCACATTAAAAGCAACCTTCCCATTAGTTATATTCTCCGATATATATTAAGCGAAGCTATTATGGGGCGTAATATCGCGTCCGACGCAACAATTTTTCCTGTTATCAATCTTCGTGATAGATAACTCGGATTAAATGGAGTAACGGTACAAATATCTGCAGTCACGAAAATAAAATGAAAAAACGGAAGGGAAAATGAAAATTTAAAAATATTTATTATAGTAGATGTATCCCTACAATTTATCGTACATTTATCGGGTGCTTACTTTTAGTGTATCATAAATTCATAACATATAGGGTTGTTTTGAAACAATACTGATAATGTTTGAGAACTAATAGGGGATGACAAATTATTAACATTTTCCAAATTTAATATCTATGAGAAACATACTGACGACAAAAAGAAACGTAAAGTAAAAATAACATCAATTATAATGTACAATTTTGAAAAAATTATAAAATGAATATTCATTTAAGTAGGACTTATACAAAGGGAAATCTTTCTACAGATTTCATTTATTTCCTTTATTCCGCTTTATATACATATTAACTTTTCTTACATTTCTTGTACATGTACATGCATTAATATAATATTGTTTTTTATATGTATTTTGCATATACATACGTTTCTGTTATATGCAAAAGCTTCTTATAGTGTGTAAAGTATTATTTTTAATCAATATGAAATCAGTGGTTCTCTCTATAAATTATTATTATCGAAGGAACAGAGCTTCTCAACTCCAAAAGCAAGGCGTGCCACTTGAGGTTGCTTTTACTGCCTTTGGAAGGATCCGATATTTACGAGTAGATTCAGCGGTTTTGCGAGGGAGGATTCGTGTAAGGGAATGATGAGTCGGAAGTCCTCGTAAATGTGATGTCCTCCACAAAGAGGATTTCGCGTGTCACGATGTAATATGAAGGCTGTATTTTTTTCTTATATATTCTCTCTTACTTTACGTGAAATGTAATATTTCATGTGAAACACAATTTTCTGAAGACTGGTGATATTAGTGTATGTCGCTCTGTCTCTATCATCCGGCCTCATTTTCGAACGTCTTCGTGCTACATTAAGAAACGTCTGGTCTTGTGATTTATAAATTTATTTCGCGCAGAGCTCGCGTAGCGGGGAATGTTCATCTTTACACGACAACATCCCTTTATAAAGCTCCGACCTCATATACCAGCGTCCGACATTTCCATCATAAAATTCCCAGGTGATGAGGCTGAAGATATACTTTGATAAACATTTAATATTAATATTAAAAAAAACGCGATCTCTTATATCGCGGTGTCCGCCACGTTTATTCGGAAACTCGTGGCTCCTGATGTATTGTATATATTATGTACGATGTTCAAGAGATCCTCGCGTTCTCTCTCGTCCGCAATAAAATGTATTTCTTTCTTTGAAGTGCCTTACGTGCTTCTCTTGTTAGATGTAGATCCGGTCTGTTTCATTATTTTCATCTCGATGGTATCGCAAAGAAAATATATCCGGACGAAGTAAAACTCGAATAGATATGCAGATAATTGCTCGATCGAGCGGAAGTATCATACGTATCGAAAAAAGAAAGAGATAAAAAAAAGAAAGAAATGTGATCACGTCGAATGTGAAAAGAGGTAAAGTCTGCAGCGATGGTCTACGACAGCGTGGAATTACTTTCTCCCTTCTTGCTCGATTTTCGCCGCCAGCCATCCAATCTCTCGGTCATGTTCGCTTCCGCGACGACGTCTTTCCGCGGAAAGACGTAAAAAGTTCTTCGCGTTCGATCCAATTGACAGTATTCGATATACGAAGTTCAAATTATTCATACAATCTATTTTTAATAAGTAATTATTCTTTGATACATTACAAAAATTCGAAGCTTTTGATGAACAAATGCATTACCTACACGGAGAGAATTTTTCGTGATATTTTATCGCAAAATTCATTACCAATTTTACAATGCATGGTGATAAGTTTGGGACACCTTTGCGACCTATCAAATATTGTTGGTAACGAATTTTTGAAATATACGAAATTATATATGAAGCACAAAATTATTAAATTATTATGTAGCATTGTAAAATGTTCTAAGGCAAAATTTTTCAAATCAAAACAAAATTTTCTTACATACATAGTAATATATAATCATAAAATTTGTCTTTATATTACTATTTAATGTTATTTAATGTATATATTTAATATATATATATTATCTTAAAAAAGAATGCTTACTCTAGTAAAATTCAAACCCAAAATCATCTTCTACTTTACTTGCTACACCATTCTCTCTATTCAAATATGACAATATATATTATACATATATTTGTAATACAAACAGTACGCCAAATAATTTATCATGCTGCATGGAAAAATTATCATGAGCGATTAAGTTAAATTTTAAATATCATGCTGCATTGTAAAATTTATATAAGATATTATATGTTTATCGTTATTTGACGTTTATTCCATTTAAAATGATTAAATTACTTTACAGTTTAATAAAATTATCATATGTATTTTATAATTTATTGTTATTTTATTTTACTTACGTAATACGGATAAAGTATAAATCGAATAATACTATTACTCGTATTTTATACTTTACTTCTAAAATATAAAATAAATCAGATAAAGTCATAAAATTCTTCAAGATACAATGATGTCCCACGACTTTCAAGATAAATTTTATAAGAAAATTCTTTCCGTGTATTGATTTGACAAGAAGAGCCTTAATCATGTGAATACCAATAAAATATTAATCTGCATAGTCATTAATAAACAAAATCGATAAATAAATATTATAGAAAATAACAGACTAATGATAAATAATTAATTAAGTTTAGTAAGTTTTAATCAATTTTTACGCAGTAATTATGTATGAAAAATTCATCGTTTTCCGACATTAAAGGCTACCTTTCGGATAGCACAAAAATTCCAATATTACAAACTTCCAGTATTACAGATTACGAAGAAAGTGAATATTTTTTTACGGCGTTTAATCGGTCAGATCTGCAAAAAAATTAAAATGCATTAAACAAATTTCTGTTACAGCATTCAACGATTCTAAATTTGCGAAGTGAGATGGACGACACGGTTACCACCTTTCTCGTTATTGTTCTCGTGATCGGCAGCTTGATGATGTTGACCGTGCTGCTGGCCTGCTACACTTGCATTTTCCGAGATTTATATTGCCGTTCGGAAAGCAGATCCAAGAGGCGACATCGGGCGAGCATCCAACGAGAGTTCGATAATGCGAATAAAGCCGCGATACCACTGAACGAATTTACACAAGGGGAAAGTATGCCCACAGAATCCGAAAAAATTTAAACGGAAAGAGCAAAAATGAAAATTAAACGTGAAAAATATTTAAATCACGCTCTTTGCAACAATAGTTACAATTATAAAAATAAAGTGCGGAGTAAAATATGATGAACGGAACTGACACAACTAACGATTATTGAAAAGTATATGTATACTTTCGACAAACATTATATTTTTAAAAGAGATTATTCGTTGCAATGTAGGAAACAGGAGGAGAGAGATTGAGAAACAATATACACACGAAAGTTCGATCGTGAGTACACTCGTTCATTGTAAATATATGTTATAAATCTGTTATATACATAATCAGATATACATACATATATACATTATATGCTATTTGTTTATCGCAAAATGTATGCAATAAAAGATCTGGTAAAAATATTCGACACCAGTGATAATAATCCTACATATAGCGTCTAACAGATGTATATAAAATAAACGTCTATTCATATTTCCCATATGCATTATACCTGTAATGCATGTAATGCACATGTTTTCTGGTAACTTATTACATATTAAATATCTAAAGATCTCAACTCGTAGAAGATATTCTTTCAGAATTATCTTCCCAACCACAACACAAGAGGCTAATTCTTCACAAACTGGAGAATATCCATGTTAGAGATAATTCACGCAAAACTTAAAAAAAAATATATATATATAAATAGGTAATATTTTTAATAGTAATTTTTTCCCAAAAATAATAAACCATTAAATATTGCATTAATGAAAGCTCAGTGAAAAAGTCACCAATATTTCTCATTTACTTAATCCGAATAGGTAATATTTTTAATAGTAATTTTTTCCCAAAAATAATAAACCATTAAATATTGCATTAATGAAAGCTCAGTGAAAAAGTCACCAATATTTCTCATTTACTTAATCCGAACTTATTTTAATTTTATCGGATTATTGAAAATCTGCTACATCAATCAAATAAAAAAAAAAAAAAAAAGATGTATGCTTCTTGTTTTATAAACCTGATTTTATATATCTAGATGTTATATATCTAGACGTTATATATTACGTCATATATTTTCTTTATAGGTATAAGGATCTAACAAATTCTTCTGAGGGACATTGTGCGACGGGTACCTGTCTCGAAAATGCACTTGACTAGCTGATTTGATTGTTTGCGACTGTGAGCTGTTGTAGCACCGAGACTACTACTTGGCGTAGAGTCTAAGACATTAATAATTAGATCAGCTTTCACATTTCAAAGAAAATGAAATTTATAAAATACAGTTATTTACCTGAGGTTTACAATGCTCCTCCAGCCAACTGAACACGCAACCAGATAATTCCGTAAAGTTCGCTACAGAAATATTAAACGTTTCGAAAAGACGATTCATTATTGCCTGGAACTGCAACAGAATACAAACACCATACATGAGTGAATTACACTCGCGATTATGGTAATTTTAAAAGGAAAAAAGAAAAAGTGTTTCATTACCACTTGAAATTTCATCTCGTCCGAGATACGCATCTCCGCGTGCCCCGGTTGCGTCTGATGCGCTTTGACAATCTGCTCGTAATTCGCCTGCATAATGCGCAACGCGACGACTTCCTTTCTCAGCGCATTACGCTCGTCCTCCTGCTTCTTCTTCTGTTGCAGTAGAAATTGTATGTAATCGATGGATTTCTGAAGCACCGTAGCCTTGGAAATCTTATAGCCCGAGGAATCCTGATACTGACAGGTCGGTACCAAATCCTGAAGAGAGTCGTAACCCTTTTTGATGGCGTCCCGCCTCTTCTGCTCGGCCTGCGTGTGAGCCTCTCTCCTGCGCTCCTTGTAGCTTATGGTGGAATTTTTGTTATCGCTGTCCTCGTCTTCTGAACATCATATACACATACATCAGTTATCCATTAGTGTGAACAAGAATCTGATAGAAAACAGGCACTTACCTGTATTATGAGCGGAAGAAGATGGCGTGTTAACTGATCCTGTGCTGCTACAACGGGAGAAGGTGTACTTCTCTGTAGGACTGGACGGCTCCAGTTTCATGTCACTGTCCGAGTTTATATTACCGCTGTTGGCACGCATCGTCGAACTAGCTGCTTTCAAAAAATAACAATACACACATATACATTTGAGTACATAATTACACGATTTATACAATATAGTTTTAATTAGATATATTTTTTGTATATTAAAGATAAAAGATGGAAAAAATTATAGAATTATGGAATTAGAGATGTTGGAAATAATAATTCTACAGTTGTTGCATTTTAAAAATAAAGATGTGTCAAGAAAATCCAAATAGACAGGATTAAATGAAACGTACTACACTGTACATAAAAAAAACTAAGCATTTGCAAATATATTGATGTAATATGCTTCTATTCGTACAGCTCTTCTACATAATGTTAAAAAAATATTTTTTAAAATTTTATAAATACTTTAGAAATTATCTTAAAGTTTGCATTGCTATATTTTACTTTTCTGAGCTAAAGCAAGAATCAGCTACATTACTTACGTTCTAACTGTCAAACTGTTCAATTGTCTAAACCGTCTAATCAATATCAGACTTATCAGTATTTAATACGTGATAGTTATATATCTATAGATAACAAGGTAGAGGTAGTAAATAGATGTAACAAATGTAGGGATCACATAGGCAGATTTCTTTAAATTCAACAATGCACCCTTACGAAGATTAAAGCTTCTTTCCTTGCATCTCGCTTAGAATTTTTTCTTTTTTCTCAAATACTTTGTATATACCTACCATTTCATTTTATGTCCGCTTATCTTTTTTTTTTTATATATTACATATCCTTCCCATCTCAAAAATGTTTACATTTTTGCAATTAAAAATTTTCTTTCATTACTTCGTGATTTACACTTCTGAAATACGTACTTGTCTCATTTTGAAATCAGAGTAAAATTAAAATAGCGCTTACACAAAATGAAATGGGCTGAACTCCAAGCACAACAACGCGAGCGTCAGCGGACGCGCAGCATGTAAACACGAAGCTGCCAAAACAATCACGTGGTCGGTCGCGCGGACTTGAGGGGAGACGTCTCTCCCACTCCGTCATCTAGGAACAATGGCTGCATTCGGAACTATTATGCAATCGAAAATAAATATCAGGACGCGTTCGAGGAACACGACGATTGAATCTGAACGCGTCGCGTTCAGCGGATGAAATGAACGATCGAATGATCGATCGGAGTTTCCCGGTCGGAATTGAAGTTTTTCACCCTCTAAATTCCGAACGCAGTCGTTGTTCCCCCGAGTGTAGGAAGTGCAGGAACGGCGCGAGTAACCAAAAACAAGCGTGCCAGATCGCACGATCGCAGGGCAACAGAAAAGGAAAGTTTTCTTTCCTTCTTTCCATCTCAACTCACAGTTGTCATATCCATCCTTGTGCAACGGATCCGCCATGGTCGGTCCTCTGCACGACTCTTAACTCACGTTGAAGGGGCGAGGAGTCAAAACGCGCACATGAAATGTGGTTATGATCGGAGGATGATCATACAGGTGGATCTCGATTCGAGATTTGGTCTCGGATTTAAATGCGTAAGAGGAAAAATTTCGGTGGGTCAAGGCACATCGGCTCGGCACCAGAAATTCCCGGGCCGCACTCGATCACGACACCGCGAACGGCGCGAACGATTTCGACGTGTTCGTCCCGCGACAAAACTTTTGCGTGGTCTCTACCATCTTTCGACGGAAATGGAAACACTAGTGGCTTATGGACTGACCCTAGTTCCTTTCGGTCGCGCGCGTTGCACCTCCCGCGCTCAAGATGGAACGAGCGCGAAAGAGAAAAGTAGCGCAAGAGGAAGGAAAAGAATTAAAAAAAAAATATATATATATAGCTCAAAAGAATACCGACGTCTGTTCACCTTAGTTGCATCTCCCTCACTTTTTTTTTCTCCCTACAGAGTTGAAATAAACTCGTTTTACGTTAAAAACATAAAATATTTTCGACTAAAAATTATGTCCTCCAATTACAATTTCTTAATTTTTTGATTATTGTTTAATGTATTAACTATATAAAGTATATTTTTATATAAAGGCTTTTAACTTATTTTATAATGATTAATAAGACCTGATAGCCTGATTATACCATTAAAAATATTAACACAATATGATAGAATTAATAACATCAGTAAAAACGATTAATAATCGCAATTGATAACATTGGATTGTGCAAAAATATTTTTATCAAACTTATAGGCTTGTAGTAATGAAAGAAAATTAAAATGAATTAAGCAAAAAAATTTTTCAATTTTTAAAGGACTGCAATACGATATAAATAAAAAATATAATTTGAAAAATGTTCGTCACGTGTATCTACCACGTGGATCTACAAACTTCCCTTTTCGTCGCGTTTGTGAATGACAAATTCGATAAAGTCACAATTATTGATACATGTACATATATGTAATGTCCAATGTAGTAAAATAATTAAGATAAAAATTAACTTTTAACTTTTTTCCAAGTAGTACGCACATGATAGACTAAAGTTAGAACGTTAGATATGTTAAATTATGTTTATTATAAGGTGTATCTAATATATATATTTACAATCGCTTTAATACACGTAAAACCATTTAAGATAATATATCCGTTCTTCCTCGGCGTTACAGCGCACCTCGCCGTAAACGCTGGCAAATTGTGTTCCTACATCGTCGCTTTTTTTTTGTCTCCGTGAAGTGTACACGAATTTGGGTATCATCATGGGTATTTGTCTATTGTGTACCTGAGGCAAGGACCGTCGCTTGCATTAATACGCTTGCAGAGATAGCAAGGCTTCGGGGTGAAGCAAGTAATTCCAAGAGAAAGAGAGATATCCCTTTCCTTCCTCCCTTTCGTTTCCCTTCCCTCCCCCCCCTCCCCGCGCGCGCACAGCACTTCTCTACCGTCTAGAAAAATTATTCTACTCCTAATTCGCATATTCACTGTTATACTCGATCGTACGTCTAACTTAGATCCATAATATGCGTAGTACACGGTTCTACATTTGTATCGTTCGGGGACGGATTATGTCGGAAAGCCGAGAAAGAGAGGAGCGTGAACTGTTTAGGACGGCGCTGTGTAGAAGACGCCGTTGAAGGTGTTAACATTATATATAATATATCGTATATTATATATAACATGTGTATATGTGAGGTATGTTTAGGCTGAATTGCACCGAGACGGTCCGAGTCGCCCAACTCTGGTTAGCGATTCACTGTCCTTTTTTTCTTACCTATACATTATTAAAAATATCCATTATTAAAAAAGATATTCGAGTTAATCAAAATTAATATTGAACAATTACACTGGAGAATTATTACTAGACATTACGCTAATGCCGCCTTTTCAATTTAACTTTTGATTCGCATCGACTATCCGGATTGATAACTCGGCGTTTCTATTTGCGCTAAAAACAGGAATGCAAATAGAGAATGAGTTGTCGATTCTTTTTTACGCTGGATTACAGATATTAATTAATAACGAACTTGGTCGTTCTTTTTTGCACGATATGTCGCGAAACTATGGAACATTACGGTCACTTAGAATAAAAAAAAAAGTCGATCAATTATAGAGACTGCAAGTTTGATTGCCAGCCAACCAGAATTAGCATCGACTGACGTTCGATGCAATCCGCCGCTGTAGATGTTTCGATTCTAGATTTATATGTTCGTTCTTGGGGGCCTGAATGACGAAACAGAGTCTCGATGCGAATTTCCAGATGGTCTCATTCTACGGATGCCCGTGATAAACGCCGCCGCCTAGTCGCGCGCGACGATTTACAAGTGAACGTACAAGCATTTCGAAATTTCCGACACGTACGATTTGGCTATGCCCGCCCCCGCAATGCGCTATTCAACGTAACATTAAGTGAAATTTTACATGCTCGTTCGCAGCCAGAAACGCTCCTACGTGTATTTTATTTTATTTTATTTTTTTTCGGATAAAGGTCACTTTCCCGCGGTTAAATCGATAAAGCATCACATCGTAAATTCTCATCAAAGTTCAAATTTAGTATATTCTTTTCGTACATATCACACATTCACCTCACACGTATGCGCACCGCAACGTTTTTTCCCATATTATACTCACACCCTAAGTTATCTCTGCTTTTCTTTTTCTCTAATTTCCTTTTGACATCGATAAAAAATTATATATATATTTATATATATATTTTTTCATATATATTTCAATTATTTTATCGTTAATTAATTAATTGTTCAATTAATTAATTAATTAATCGTTATATCTTATTGTTCCATTAAAGTTTAAACTAAAGTGTTCTGCGTGTGGTATGCGCAAGTACCCCTCTGGCAAGTACCACTCAAATATATATACATACCTTTATATATATACATTTATATACACACACATACATATATTATATATATATATAAAGGCATGTAGACATATATATTTGTAATATATAAAGTATCATTCACTTATATATTTATCTGTATTTTCCATTTTTTATAAGTATCATCATGAATAACTCACAATATCTAACTACGCTGCTTTGAGATTAATTGGGTAATCGGTGCAAATAAGACATTAATTGTTCCTACTGTACCAATAATTGTTTATCGCGCAAGGTAAAACCATCAGACTTCCGGAGCCGATTGCAAATATCCTTGATTGTTATAATTTATAAACATGAACGTCCACCATTTTAAATTTGGAACATGTTCTCATAAATACAAATTGCTTTTAATTTTATTCAATAACAAAAACTCCATTTTTTTCCGCATATAATATACAAAAATGGCATGATACCCAATTCTTTTATCTAAATAGAATCATTCCTATAAATAATTATCTAGTTCTATTAATATTGCAATGTGTACGCCATCTCGTAATTGTTTTGGTAAAATGGCGTATTCATAAAAATAAACTAACACCTTCCCAGGTATCCATCAACATTTTGCTCTTTAGTATGATGTAAATTCTTCTCAGATGTTTTCTGGTTATTTCGCGTCTTAATACTGGGATGATACTTTTATCATAAAACGTTTTTGATTTATATCCAGCTACACGAATTCAGTCAATCTAAGCATGTGAATGTTGAATACAAATGAATACAGCTGGACGATAAAACAACGATTTTAAAAGAATTAATTTTCTAATTTGAATATAACAAATCAAAACGAATTGATATGATTATATGGTGTGTTTGCAATACCTAGACGAATTATCGATATCAATTCCCTAAAATACTTTTCAATGATATTATGAAACAAAATTTATTAGAGACTCTATCTGAAAATCTTTTATATGCGAGTTACCACAAGCTATATTGTGTATAGAGAATGCGCGAATACTCGAACAAATTTATAATTTTTTAAAAATTATTTGGTTTACACCAATTAAATTTATAGATAACGTGATGCTAAATGTTCAAACTAATTTACAATTTTCTCAAAATTACTGACTTGTGCACCATATAATTCAATTTATATAGTTGCTTTATGAAATTTCAACGCTTTCTCTATTGCCGTATTGTCCTATTCGATTAAAATGTTGCAGACGCGATATCCAATCAACATTTTAGCAAGAATCGTTTTAAATATCGTTTTAAAAATAAGACGAGAGTCACTGTACATTTTTGATCGAAGAGCAAAATGGAAGGCGAATATCTGTCGCCACGAATATTTAGTACGTTCTTTCGTGCGATACCGCTGTTAAATGCATGACAGATATGATTTTAACTTTCTATCATCTTCAAGTGTGTCGCGGCAATGATGATTAAAAAAACAAATGAATCTAACAAGAATTCGAGAAGTATAGTCAGACGTTGCTTTACGAGCAAAGCGAATGATCGGCTAGGCTTTTTTAGAATATTCATCAATGTGCGCCACTGGCGACGATAAATTCATGAAATAATCGAACAAACAACTGGCGATCTTGAGACAATCGCCGGCAATCGATACGGCTAAAATTTTCGAAACGAAGTTTCGTTGCGTAAAATGCAGGACGTTCGCGGTGAGGAATTTTGTACTCTTCTAAGATCATATCGGCTTGCTGACATAAAGAAACGCGCGTAAATTATCATAGAAAGTCCCCTATCTTCGGAAATTCATTAGAGACTGCTTGAATATTTGTACCATGATCAGTGTTATCGATTTAAATTTTTGAGCGCTTAGCCTGACGAGACTTGGCAGTGCGACGTGATTTTTTCGCGGTATCGCCCAACGTTTCTTCCGTTTCCGCGTTAGATCTCCGTTTGAAGGATATTGAAGGCACGGGAGCCTTTGGGGGTGCCATGTCCACTGTCGGCGTCGACGGAGATTGCGTAACTACAGATTGCTGTACCACTTCGGTGGGACTGTGGGCATCCGCGATGGGAATGAAGTCGTGCCCTTCGCCAAACGCATCCGGCAGCACTCCCTGATTGGCTAAAGCTTGTAAATCCTCTGTAGGGACTGGCATCGACTGGCCACAACTTACACACACTGGTATTGCTGGTGACTTGGATCGCCAATATTGTAGCTCGGTTTTACACTTGTTCAATTCCTAAAATAAAATTTGTATTTATAAGAGATGGAAATTAGATTTCTGTATATTGATAGTGAGAGTAAAAAAAAAATCAAGTTTACAATTTAAAAGATTAAATTTTAAAGCAAATTTTACATATTATAAAAATTACATGTTTTCATTTTTCTAGATAAATACCTGTAAAAGTGTGCTGAATTTTCGCGACGTCTCCTCATTCTTCTTGTCATTATCATCCAATCGAGTAGCGTATTCTACGATTTGTTTCTGCTGATCCGCAATTTTCGCCTTGCAACTCTTCAAATCCCTGCGCATCAATGTTAGCTGACTGTTGTATCGTCTCATGCCCTGTTTGATTTTGCGAATTCGTTTTCGCAAAACCATATTCGATTGCGGTGGTGACACATTGGATTCCAAAAGAGCAGGATCATCCGAGCAATGCGACGAAGAACCTTCCTCTTCACCAGCATTGCCCGTTTTTCCATTTCCAACGGTCAAGGGTGTGGAATCCAGGCACATAAATGGTTTACTCACGCTACTAGAAGCTGCGACAACAAATTGTCGTCTCAATATAATTATATCACGAAAGTATACAAAAAAAATTGAATCATCGGCTTACAGGAGAATGTTCCTGCAAGATCCAGAAAGTCGGCACCGAAGTAAGGTATTTCTGGTAATGTTGGTTCAATGTGTTCCTTGAAATATTCCATAGCCATAGTGCTCAAATCAAACAGTTCGTCTGTGACTTTGTAAGGTCTTTGTAATTTCGGAGTGACTTTTATATAATGGAGAATGCGATAAACTTCATCTAAAATCTGTAAAACGGCAACAAGAATTTTTACTGCCGTTTCTGTTATGGGTTTCAACGTAATTATATAAGGAGTTTGGAAAGTAAGAGTTGATTGATCGTAAAAAAAAGATATTCCGAGAACAGCTATTGCTGACTTTGCGTTAGAATGTACTAGTACTCTATTTTTTTGCAAATCTACATAGTGGTCTAATACACTGAAAGAAGAATGCACTAGAAAAAATGAGAATATTTAAGGAACATAAAAAAAACGTGAAAGTTTAAGCAAATTCAGCAAATCTTATTAGTTCCAAGTATGACATTAGCCTTTACTTTACGAATATCTCTCTCGTTTTTTTACCTCGCCAGGAAAGAAGCAACAATGCTTCCGTTCAATGTGCTTGCCGAAACTCATTTGCAGCAGAGTGAGCCGCATATGCAGAGTTTCTATAATATCTGACTCGCATGCTAACGGATGATTCCGTCGAGCGGACTCGCGCCTGGGCATTTGCGCTTTGATAGCCTGAAAACGGCTTAACATTTGAGCTTGGAGCTTTTGAAATGTAGAGTTCAGTATTGATCCACAAATGCGGTCCAGTTGATGGCAAACCTAAACGGAACGTTTGCTACAGTAACTCCACTGGGAGGCATGAATTAAACCACTTTGAATTTGCTGATACTTACCAGGCGCATATGGGCGACCATATTGAAACCTAGATAGCCAAAGATTTTCTCGAGGACCTCGACAGGTAAATCCAGGAGATTCAAATTGCGCGATTCAATGGTGGCCCCATTGTTAGACGTGCCAGCTGTTACAGAATGGTGCTTTTTTAATGAGTTTACTTCCACCTTTACTTCCACCTCGCCAACTGGTCCACTGCCACCGCTACTTCCCATGTTACTTGACTGACGTGTCGACACCATTTTTCTTTCTGTTCTCCAATCTTATTCGAGTTTTCAAAACCAAAACCTGAAATAAAACAAACTATATTTTTTTCGCGATAACAGTAACAATACATAAACACGTTACGTGACGCAATGTCTGTCAGAATTAGATATATAAATAGATCTACGTTGCGTGTAGTTAATTTAACATTTTCACATTTTATTCCTAAAAAGCTCTAAGAGATTGTGTAATACAAACTTCTCACAGTCAAAAAGGTTTTAATATATTTTTTAAGAATAGCATTCCCCCAGTACAGCAAGACGCCACAATATAAATACATACTGATAAATGGTATTTTAATACGGAAAGCAATATTTTTTTATAATCGATATTTCTAGAAAGAAAAAAAATTCAAATTTAATTTCAGGCAATTACATAGTTATGATCATTGTATTAACATATTATTTATATCAACACTTCTCTACTTGATGGAGAAGATTACAAGTGCATTATTATTGTACGTTGCAATATACGAAAATAAAAACGTGACACCGAGAGGTTAATCGTTTTAGGTACAGTCTCCGTAATGTATTCGTGTCACTAAAGCGTTTTATTTTTCCCACAACAAACAATGAAGTTTCGTGCGAGCAGTTTCCTTCCCGCAGAACTTTGTTTAAATAGCAAACCCTGGCTCCAAGTCAATGAACTTGCTTCGGCGAGCCCCATCGAGAGTCTCGAAGACCATTGCACGAATGTGTATTGTGCAAGCACTCCAGACACAAATCGAACATAGTCACCTAGACGAGAAGAGAACAAGGCCGAACGCGGAGCACCGATGATACTCCGAAATTCGAATAGCTGTTAAGAACGACGATTTTTACGGAGGAGCGGAATCTCACGCTTCGTTACCGAGATTCTCATTCCGACGAAGCGTTTTCGCGCGCGATCGTTTTCGCCTTCGTTTGCGAAATTTATTCGTGTACCTCTCGGCCGGTGTCCCGAGGAGAAAACGAATCGCGCGAATCACCTGCTCGTTGCGAAAATGCTCCGGTTTGCCTCGATCGAGATCTTTCGGGGTCAGTAAACGAATGTTCCGAGTCGAGAAACGGAGAGATCGGAGGAAACTCGACGTCCGCGGGAGCATCACCGATCGGCCAGGAAATTCGGAAGAAGATCTCGACGGAGGAGACACTAGACGGGAGGGAAGAATTTGAAAGGAGAACGGCACTTTGCGAGTCGTTGCGTAAACAAGATGCTGAGCAATGGTTACTTGGTCTTCACTGATCACCGCACTCGAGTCGAGTCCCTTTTTTTTTTTTTATCGCGTCAGCATCGCAAGCGGAGCCGTGGTCAACCGGACTTTCAATTCTCCGTCGATCGTATGTAAACGTATACGTGGCCTCACTCTCGAAAACAGGAGCACAACCCGATCGTCGTCGACCGAAATCAGGCTCGCTCGTGATCGGGACGACGAGGTAGAGCTCCGTCTAGCTCGTGCACGTCCCGCGTGAATAATCCGCGCCGATCGACGATCGCCAAGATCGGAGATCTTGACGATCCCGCTCCCACGAGGTTTCGACCGAATTTGTCGGAGTCCAGTTGCAAGGATAAGCCAGCGGCTAGCTATTAAATCCAGGACCGGGATCGGGAGCGAAGGCTAGCGTTTAACGGTCGCGGGTAGCCGAGGGGGGTGCAGCATAGAGGCAGGAGGGAAGGAGATCGAGCCGCGCGCGCGGCGCGAACAAAAGGTCGGAGAGTCGAGTTGTTGGGTGTCGAGTGTGACGAGCAGATTTCACCGTGAATGCAGAAGGTACTGTCCGCGCGTCGTCGTCGTCGTCGTCGTCGTGGAAGCGAAGGAGCCTGGCGACGAGATCGCCAGGAGCCCTGGAGAGCGTGATATCGAAAACTTCGGGGAGCGCAAGGGCCTCACTTCACGATCGAGGTGTCTCTCTCTCCCCCGGAACCTGTCGCCCTTGTAAGGGAAACCGAGGAAACGAGGGGACGGCGGCGGCGACGGAGGGAGAGAGGAAGGGAGGGGGGGAGGGGAGACAGGCAGAGAGGTATCCCGCCACCGAAGACGATGAGACGCGAACGACGACGCGCGTAGAGAAACAAATGTGGGGAAACAAACCGGGTGACCTGTACGCGCGAGTAATCGATGCACCCGCGATCTTCTCTTTCTCCTCGCTACAAGAGCCGCGCCGTAGAGCCGCCTGCTCGTCGAGAACGAGATCGGGAGATAGATAGATAGATAGATAGAGAGAGAGAGAGAGAGAGAGAGAGAGAGAGAGAGAGAAAGGAAGGAGAGTAAGAGAGAGGGGAAGAGAGCAAGAAGGGGAAAGGGAGAGAAAGAGAGCAAGAGAGTGAGGAAGGCTCGAGGGCTCGAAGGGAGACGACGTGCTCCGAGTTAGGCGAGCGGCAACATCACTGTATCCGCGTTGGCGTTTTCAGCGACATTTTGACGGAGAGATTCCCCCCTCCCCCCGGCCTCTCTCCTTTCCCCCCGCGAGGGCCGCGAGCTGTGCTCCCCACGCTGCCGCGTACGTTCTCGCTTCGTTTTACGAAGCCGAGCTTCCTCTCTCTTTCTCTCTCTCTCTCTCTCACTCGTTCTTTCCGCAATTCGCAATTACTCCCTCTTCGTCGTTCTCCTTTTTTTTTTCGTCCTTCTCGTTCGCTCGCTCGTTCACTCACTCGCTCACACACACACACTCTCTCTCTCTCTCTCTCTTTCCCTCACTCTCGCGCCCGTTAAAAGACCCGTGCAATTATGGCGCGGTTACACATAATCCCATAACCGAGGAAAAAATTGCCAATCTCCCGGCGGACAAACGGCTTTTTCCCAGTCCGTTTTACCTGCTGACGCTAGCTGTCCTGGTCGTGCACCTACGGACACCTCGCAGGTTGCGTTGCGTTGCAGCAGTTCGGGAAACAGGCTCCTCTTCCGTCTTTCTCCCTCCTACCAGTTTCTTCCCCGCAACTCTCTCGCTCGCTCTCCCGCTGTCCCTTCGCCGATCGTATCGAAAATAAATGTTGTCACTGGCCGCGACGAGCTGTTGCTAGCTCCTCGCGCGCACGCGAATATCGTAGACGTTGATAGAGCACGCGGGCCCCGCGGCGCACACCCGGGATCCGCGGCGCGCGGCCGTTGCTACGCTCCAAAGCGAGCGGCGTACCGGAGCAACGCCGACGACGTCGACGGCGGGCAACGGCGGCACGGAGATGCGCACATACGTATAACCGCGGCGAGAATACGCGACCTACGCGACACACACGCGCGCGCCTCCCGCTTCGACGCGCACCGCACCGCACCGCGCCGCGCCGCGCCGCACCGCGATCGCCGCCGCGGCCGCCGCGTGCGAACGTGCCACACGAGCGCACGCGTGCGCCTTTTGATTGGTCGCCGCCGCCGCCGCGCGGACCAGTCCGCGAGCCGCCTGGAAGTGCGTAACCGGCGTGCGCGCCGCCACCCGGTCGACATCCTAGGAACTTTTCGCGCCGCGAGAAACTTCGTCGTTGCTTGCGAGACGCGCCGCACGCGCGCGCGATATTCGCGCTACGAGCGATCGTTGTCGGAAACGAAAACAACAGATGGAATCGTGGAACTCGCTCGATGGACTTGATCGTCGATGTTGTCGTCGTCATCGTCGTCGTCGTCGTCATCGTCGGGAGGGAGAATGATGATGTGCGGATGCGCCCGAATTTCCAGTATGCCTCTTCTACTGAACTCCGTAGTTTTTTTTACAGAACGATTCAATTGCAATCGCTTGCAACATCGTCGACGTTACGCAAGCGTGCAATCATATATTTTTTTGTCGACTATATAACAAGTCTATATATAATATATATAGAGCATTTTAAGATTGTATTTGAATCGTTCAAAAGGTCATTGTTTACATTTTAGTATAAACCCAGTCATTAAGCGATCGAAGTATAAACAGGTATAATATAATTATACAATTTGATAATATATTGACTGTAATTTGTACTAATAGACAGTATTTTAATCGTCGGATTAACGACTTAATGACAGCTTAATTATTATAACGTATATATAGGTTGATGAACTTTCGTCGATCTGTTTTCGCAGAGTTTTCGTCGTAAAACAAGATAATGTCTTATCATATAATAACGTTGATAAATCTTCCGCGCATTTGGAAAATTAAACGCGAGCGAAATGAGCTACGTGAAATTGCATTTAATAATTTATATTTGCTCAGCGATTTAATCGTGTTACATTTATGTAACACGCGTTACGAGAGAAATATAATTCAGAAGTAAAAAAAAAAGGAAATCGCGTGTTAATCTGACGAGCAATTTGATAGCATCTCCGTGTTAAATGCCGTGTTATAAGATGCGTAAATATCACGTATGGGACAGTTTTCGCAATTATTGTCTTCATCGCCTTCCCATTTTGTACGGCGAATAACAGCAGGTTATACATTTGGCACACACCACCGCGTGCACCATGATACGTCGACAATCGGCCGCGGCCACAAATTGCGAGCCGTATCGCGTACATTACCTTGCCCGATTGTTATCTCAATTTCTGGCGTTGTGCAATCGACAAACAATAGCCGAGGTAACATTACGCCTCCACGTCGTTCACCGACGTTGGCATTGTTAAGCGTGACCAATTACGTTAATTTTCCAGAATTCCAGCAGCGAGCGAGACATCATCCCGACATGTTAACATGAATTCTAACGAGCGTGACACTTCACGTTGCACGCGCGCATCGATTAATTCTTTATCGGGCATAATGCGCAATCGATCGTATATAACGCATTCATTCGTTATTTAGCCGCGGAGAATCAAATTGCTCGCGCGAACGCAGGATCAGAACCGAAGGGGAGTCATTCGGATCATTCCTTTTGATTTTGCGTGATCGATATTGTTCTTGCGTAATGTACTGTTAGTGAACGTATTGTTCTTGGTACAAATATTTCAATAGAGCGAAAACCTCTGCAAAAATTCCGTCTCCGTTCCGTGTTTTGCGCCAATCTCGCTCAATCCGTCCTCGCTCGCGCGAAGAGAAAAAGAGAAATACAGAGAGAGAGAGAGAAAGAAAGAGAGAGATATTTCTTTTCTATTATGCCACTATTCATCGTGTGGAACACTTGCGAAATCGAACGCGCCGCCTGCCAATCTCGATGAAATTCCTATCTTTAACGCCGCTATCGTGCAAGTCGACAATATTTCGCGCGATATTTCGATACTTTCTCGAAAGATATAGTTAATTAATGTAGAAGCAAAATATCTTCTCGGTGTAATTAATGTTACAGAAACAAAATATATATATTATTAAATATTTACCTAAACAGTTTTTTTTTTCAAGTTACATGTACGAAAGTACACAAGCTAGCATGTAACATTAATATTTTATATGTATACTCGACGTTATCTTGCGCGTAAACTACCTACTACATTTTCCGTATGTGTCTTCCATTTTTATGTTTTATGTACTTTATGTGGTTTTTTTCTGAAGCTATACATTGCTTCAAATTATTTCTTTTTCCGTGAATTGATTTTTTTCCAATGAAAAGACTAGACATACGTATGTACAATGCGAGCCATAAGGATCTATATAATAATCAGTTTCGCATAGAATCTGATCAAAAAGGACGTTCGTCCTCTCTATTACATATTGATAAAAACAGGATGTTATTAATCTTTCAATAGCCAATTTAGAAAATGAGATCGCGAATTGTATAACAAATCTGCCGCGGATTACAGTCGTTGGGTCGGATTACGTCGGAGAAAACCACAGAGAATAATTTCGCGAAACGGAAACCGGGAGATACCGAAAAGCGCGCGCCGGTAGGAAAGTACCGTAAGTTATTCATCACATATCACCGGATATATTCAAGAGATTTCCGCCTGCGCTAGTCAAACGGACTGCTAAATACTAAATAACATGCAAACACTAACCAGCCCGTTCAATACTAAACACGTGCAAAATTGCGCTCGTGAAACATACATCTGCAGAGCGTTACATCGATAAAGTTTGCGCAAGCGAAGACCTCGTCATCTGATTATCTGAAAAGTTTTAAATTTAAGTGTTTACCAATTTCATTTTTTTTTGCTCCGCAGAAAATGAGTTGAGACAAAATTTGTTTAAATTAAAGAAATCCACGAAGGTTATATCATTGCGAAAATAAATAATAAAAATAATATTTTAATATTATTGTAAAAAATGCGTTCCCTTAAAAGAAATCAAAATAATTATTCGTTTTTTTTTTCTTAAAAAAATGTACAATAATTCCAATGGAGTTATACTAGCGAAAAATTGATCAGACACTTTTAAATTTAAAATTTCGTAAAAGCTTTTGCTATAACAAAAGAAGGGAAATGATAAAGAGCGCGGATATGCAAATACAAATTTTTAAAATTTGCGCATATTATCAGAAAAATTAAAATAATATATTTTAAAGATAACAAGCTTCTAAATAATCACTGCCTGCGATTTTCGGGACGTTCGATCAATTTTGCGTGTACGTTTCACTGTACACAATACAAAGGATTTGAACAATCAACCCCCCGATTTGTCAAATTGACCATCAAGAGTAGACTTTTGTGTGCAAGTTGTTTTTAATTCACCTATTTTTTGTCTAGTTTTCAGGGTCACATCTTGAAGTCATTACTCGTCGTGTTGATTCCGCAGATCGTCATGAAACAAATCGTTCTTCCCTCCCCGCGGTCGACACGACCACGCGGAATCAATCGCACGTCGCGAAATAGAAGCGGTGGACTCTTATTTAACATGGTCGATCGAGCCGGCAGTACTCAGTCTACCGGCCGTAACAGAAGTACTCGCATTACACCTTGCCTGATTCCTCGACGAATCGGCGAGTCGTTGCTGGTGCCGCGAGATTCCATGGTGTACGGCTGACGGGGTGACGATCATGGTGTTTTCGGTCGTTTATCTTGGCCTCCTTCTCCTACCGGGTAAGATTTTGCAGTTTGCATACTTAAGACACAGTTACTTTGGATCTAAACACCTTGTAGATGCTTCTTCAAGTTGTCGTTCTCAATTATGTTAGACATATTATTTTATGTCAGATTGAAGAATAAATATATTACGATTCGCGCACGGTTAATTGTTTCGATAAACTTCTTAAATATTCCCAAGTAGCAAAGTGACGTAATACAAGACGACATAATAACGTCTATTCTGCTCTATTATACACTAAAATAGATGTCATCGTCATTTCCTAATCAGTTGATGTGAATTTCAAAATACAAAAATATTATATATGTATCTACGCATTGATTTTAGAAATAAGTTATGATAATACCTTTAATCATTCTAATAATTAAAACATAAAACTGTTGATCATAGAATTGTTCAACTTTTGTAGGTATCAAAATCTTAAATAATATAGAAAAATATTATATGTTTATTTAAGTTGCGATGATTCTTTTGTAACAAAGAAAATATTAAAATCACAGCATTAGCTTCGGCAAGAGATTACGATAATGAAGGAAATAATAAAATTATCCGATGTTTCTTGGCAAACTTATCACGTAAATCTCGCGATTAAAAATACTATAATGTCTCGATTATAATGTTACTTGAATTATTAAGCATAGACTGAAGGCGCATTTTTCTTTAGTAATAAACAGTAAAACAAGATCTATTTTTATTTTCAAGGGTGAAAAAAATTGCACGCGAGTAAAAGAAAATGCAGCAAATACATTATCTGCTTCATTCATGAGTCGACAAAATTGTTAACAGTTGACTTAAAATTTTTACTACAATGGTTAAAAAGTATGTTAAGACTGAAACATTTTAGTGCACACCGCGATGTGCATTTAATTAATATGCATTGAAATCGTTGCTGGCACAGATGACCGCAGAACACCAAAGAATACGGAAGTTGCGATTAAGATGCCGACATATAATCTTATTAACAGGGATTATGCTAAGTATTTTATAATATAGAGCTCAATAAAAAAGTACATAACATATATATTTTGATTTGCTTTGACAGGTATTGATTTTCGCGTAGTTTCTCCGTTTCCAATACCTCCATTTTGTATGAACGTTATGTCAAACTGTAGGAGCAATTATTATAACTGACACATAATGATTATCGTGCAAAAATGATTAACGTAATACGACGGATTCTTCCCTGTGATACTCGTTAGGTAAATTATTACGTTAAATTGAATCATCACAAGTAAATGTAGTTGTATCCAGTCATTTCTCAGTCGAGTAATTTTACATATTTAATACAGAGAACTCTTTTCCATTCTTAACTCTCGGAGTTGTTCCATCCTTAACTCTTTTTAACGTTCCTCTTGAATAGAATTATGTATTATTGGTCGAAGCAAAAAGAATTTGAATTTTGATCTGAAGTGACAGATTTTTCACGATCTATCATACGCCCAGACGTGGCGTGGGTGTCAACTAATCCTCTCGAGCTAGACTAATGCCTCAATATTTTCTTAGTGAATCGTCTGATAAAAGTTGCCGAACGGTATTATCATTTTATATCGGTTTATGTGCGTGTCTACGTGCGTCGTTTCTGATATCGTCAAAGCACACGTCATCTTCACGAGTAATCAGCTGCAATTAAGGAAAGGACCTAGAACTTGAAAATTGCATAAGACTTAATAATCGACACGTGGAAACGTAGCGCGAGCACTGTTATCGAAACCTCTTTGCTATCGCTAAAATTGCAAATTTACGTATATATTACCTCAAGTGATAATATTTGATGGATAGGTGAAACGTTGAGGTACACTTAACGAGAGAATTCGTTTCATCAAAAAGATGCGAAAATTGATGTTCTGCATGCTTAATCGAATAATTTATTTAATGTACAGATCGAAATGTCATGCATTTAATTTTAAAGAGAAATTCTAACGATAAATTAATGAAGGTCTCATATGCGTTTTGCAAATGTATGATTCGCGTCGTTCTGTCAGATTGTCACAAACTTAGCAACTTTGAGACAATTCGCGTAGCCACGCGATATCGATTTGTGTAATTTTGTTGTACAAGATTGATGAATTGTAATCAATACGAACGTTCATCTTTTTCAAAACTAAATATATTTCAGTCTATTGTTAGGACGGTCAATATGTTAGCCTTTTTTTTGCAATAAATTAAATTCGACGATTCCCTCATTTTTTTTTGGCACACGTTATTATTCTTATTATTATATATATATGCGAGAGCAATCAGGTGATATTTCTAGGATGCAAAATTTTTTATCCCAACTGTTCGTCCGGGAGCGATTATTATCAATTCCATAAAATATTTTCGTCAAGAAGCGAATAAATGTTTCCGTTTTTCGAAATTTCGCATTATCGTTATCTCGGATCGACATGCCGCCCCTTGCATGTGTCTCACGTAGTCATACGCAACAATAAGGATTTTGCGTAATGGAAGGACGCCGAGGATGTTTATCATTCTCAAGATAATCGCTTTAAAGCCAAGGATTTCCAGACGATGTCACGTCGCGTCGGCGGTCCCCGCGTGACTGTTTGTACTAAAAAAACGAAAGTAATATTCTTGAGTAAAGTATCTCTTGTAGCATGTGTCGAGCAGATGTCGAGAAGAACCTTAGAGCAACCAGGTGACGACTCGCCCACCGAATAAGTGCCGGCAGGAAAGAATCGCGAGTACTGCAGCGCTCGTTAACAGATAATCAAGAAGCGTTCTGGCGCATAATAAGCGCGCGGAAACGGCCAATTGTCTTTCGGGAGACAGAGGTCTTCAAATGCACTTTCAACTTCTGCGAAAATCTCCCGGCCGACGCATTTAATGGCCGATCCGTTAGAAAGCGCGATAACATCTAAACTGAGTAGAAAATGTTAATACATTCCTTATAAATATTAAGCTATCTCCTTGAGTTTCAATAAAAATTGAAATTGAAGATATCTTCCTTTTAATAATGCTAATCTCGAGCATAAAACTCTAAGAGTTTACCTATTTATCGAAACACTTTATGTTTTCTAAATGTATTGTATTCATATTCATATATGTACTCATCTTTAATCATGCCAGTCATTATCATAATCGAGACTCTATTCTATCAGCGTGCTCGTCATCTGCACTCATCACCGCGTTTTCCTTTTCACGAGATTCACGTAATTTACAAAAATTGTAAGTACAGTTAAATATTTCTTTTTCAGGTTTTTGCCACGGTCAAGGCTTCAGTTACGAAGGAATTCACGGTGAGTCTGACAGACATATAAGCTCATTATCCGAAGTTCAGTGATATGTGTTTCGAAATGAGAACACTCCTGTTTTTTTCGCAGGTCCGTCGCATTGGGGCGAGGACTATCATGGGTGCATTGGAAAACACCAGTCGCCCATTAACATAGAGGAGCACAATGTCAAGAACGTCAGCCTGCCGCCGCTGAGATTGATCGGCATTGACAGTCCGTACCAGTCATACGTGACGAACAACGGTCACACGGGTGAGAATTTCACGGTTCGATTCTGCATTCGGCATGCCGAAGAGAGAAACTGTCGGATTGGTTGCTCGCTTTTAGCTCGAGGTTTTCTCGGATTAAGCGATCCCGCTGGGAAACCCCCCGCGTTCGCGTTCACGCGAGAATCTAAGTATAAGAGAAAAAAACGTCGTTGCAACATAATCGGGACGAGAAAACGAGAAAACGAGGAAAAAGAGACTATAAAACTTGATAATTATAATTATTCCTGGCGTGTAAACATATTAGTAAATCACATGAACGTTGAATAGAGATGACTAAAACACTCGGGCAAAAAGCTGGTGTATGATTCGTTATACATGTCATTATTGGCGGTTAAATCCCGGCGTGATGATCTTAATCGCATGTTAATACGTAATCGAGCTCATACGGAGATTACTTTTAAAACGTGGTGTCGTTATATAAAAAAGATATTTATAATAATTACAGTTGTGTACAGCACACTGATATTTTTAATAATTGCTTTGTTACGTGCAACTTCTTTTTTTTTCTCCCATGCAGTTATGCTGAAAACCAACGAGTCCAAAGCGGCCATGTTATCCGGAGGACCCTTGGGGAACAGTGTCTACGCGTTTGAGCAGTTGCATTTTCATTGGGGTGAGAACGACTACGAGGGATCCGAAGATTTAATCAACAACCACTCGTTTCCGATGGAAATGCACGCAGTCTTTTACAAGGAAGATTACACGTCGATGGATGAAGCTCTTAAGCACAATGACGGTCTGGCTATTTTAGCATATTTGTACGAGGTAAGAACATTTGAACAATTGATGTTCTTATACAAGCAATTAATTTTTTCTTTTTATCGTTGTAATTTTTAAGATAATTTCACATACCTTCTTTTTAATAAAATCTCACGCAGGTAAGTCTTCAATCGAATCCGACGTATGATTCTATTGTGAAAATACTGCCTGACATAGAATCGGTGAATAAGGGAAAAGTATTGGAAGAACCTTTATTTTTGGGAAGTTTACTTGTACCGAATATTGCAAACATCCAGGACTACTTCACGTATAACGGCTCGTTAACCACTCCACCTTGTCTCGAGGTCGCTACGTGGATTGACTTTAAGGATCATCAACAATTATCACACGAGCAGGTCTCTAATTTGCGAATACAATAATTTCTCTCGAATTTTATAATATGTTATTTATAATATGTTAAATTGATAATTTTTTGGCACAGATTTTCATTTACTTAAGATTTGATTTAATCTGTATCAGAAAATTATCAAATTTTAAATTATATGTACTACATGTATATGTGTGCGTCTGCCAATTTGATACATAAAAAGTATAACACATAGATTTTTTGTTTTTCAATTTTAGTTGGCCGCATTTCGCGACTTACGAACTCCCGAAGGTAATAAGTTGACTCACAATTTTCGACCAGTGCAGCCTTTAGAGGATCGAGTAGTTTTCCAAAACATTCCGACAGAACAAAATGTGCCGAATAACATTTCTTATAGACATTATTTTGATGAGCATTCAGGACAGCGAGGCATCAAGGTACCAATTCTGTTTGTTGCATTGGGAGCTCTTGTGGCAATGTTTTTGTTTGCCGCAATGTGAAATCCTCGATACAAAATATTCTAGTCAAAGAGTGTTTTTCAATTGTCATCATAACTTTTAAATGGAGAAAATGACAGTTAGATACTAAAATATAAGAAAATGTTATTAAACAAAAAAGGAATCAGATCTAATTTTAAAATATTATTTTGAAAGTTAAAGATGTTTGTAATTGAATAAACGCTCTGTTTTCATGATTGCATTTCATGATGAAGCAAATTTTCATGATTTTACAAAATCATGATAACTTAATTATTTAAATTTACAGTTGTAGTTTATGTGATGTTTTTTTTAATTTGCAACTATAATTTATTTATTTAGATGACATAACATTACATACGCAAAACTACACACACACACACATACGGACAACTATATTGATAAAAATATATCTTGCAAGATAATATTTTATTCAAGACAGTTAAGATGATTAAGATTTTAAAATAAACAGATCTATGTCATTCTTCGCGCGAGCGAGTTCAAGTAAACGATATATATGTATAATATATATAATAATTTATTTAAATACTTCAAGTATTATATATAAGAAATAATGACGAGTCATAAATAATTTGATTATTAGGTATATATTCTCTAAATAAAAAAAGTATATAATTTATTACAAAATATACATATTTCTGAGAACGATATCATTCTTTGTTATTTACATAAGCTGCTAGATCTTGTTGGCCTTGTTTGAGACGTGCCCTCACCTCTTCCGCTATCGCCTTCTGCGTTCTCCTTTCTAATATTTCTAATTTTTTGGCTATGTCTCGCTTTAGATCCCAATCAGGCTTTCTTGGTGCTAAATTACTAATATCCTGATAAATAATAAAAATAAACAAAATAAGGAAATTGTTTCTAACAATAAGAAGTTGTATATGTAGTTGTACAGCACAGAAGGTGCTGATAATATGATATATTGTGTCAAGAAAATGCATCATTTTTTATATTCAAAAACTTTAGTGGATCATCTTTGATCTTTGATGAATTTTTTTAAACAATTCCGAAGCAATATTTAGTCAAAACACCGAAGGTGTTTGCTTTGTCGTCGGTAGGTAAGAAGCGGCAATAGGACAGATTCTGTGAGAGACATCTCCCCTCCCAACTTACCAGTTCCTCGATAACCACTTTACTCTTTGCGGCGTCCAGCTGTTCTTGAACTACAGCTTCCACATCTCCAGGTTTCGCGTCTTCTATTATATTATTCTTCAAGCTTTCGTCTTGCGGTTTGTAACTCCGAAATTTTGGCCTGAAAACACAAGATATTGAGCAATTCGGTTATGATGTGAGGTTAGGTTTTAACCTGCATCACTGAAACGAGGTTTACTTCGGCAAATTTTCGGCCACGTTGTCCGCATTTTCTTTGCCTTCTTCATTCTTCCTCTTGAGTGCCTGAAGTCGTTCTTTTCTCTTTAAAGCCTCCTCCTCTAACGAGCCAATTTTCTCCTCTGTCATTTTCAAACACTCGTTAAATTTACAGAATTTACAGATGACACTTTAGTGACTTCTAGGGTAAAAGTCTGGACACTATTTGAGAATTTATGTTCCCAGATAGGGTTTTTCGCGCGTGCGCAGAAAATTTGATTTTAATTAAATATACTTACTGTTAGATTGGAAAGAAAGAGGTTTTTTTTAATGTATATGTTTACGTAAAAAGTACATATTTTATTTAACAGAAATTCTAAGAAATACTAATTCTAACAATTGCTGCAAAAGTAAAAAAAAATGTTTCAAAATCTTTATATATTAGACATATGTGATTATATATATTTATTTAATTGTTAAATTAATTAAGTAATTATATGGCATAAAAGAATTTATTTAAAAAGTGATAATTATCAATGTAATTACTGACAATTGAACAATTCATATTTTGGAGATATAATATATTTACGCACAAGAATTAATTATTAATATTAATGATATATTATCCGTATTCAACTTCTAGTAATATAAACTGAAAATGCTAATTGAAATTTTTTAATAATTTATGTTGAAGTTGTGATTTTTATATCTCAATAATTTGTAAATAATTAAAAATCATTATTGCAATTTTAAGGATCAGTACAGTCATTTAGAAAATTTTAATACGCATATGTATAATATATAAAAAATATGTATTATAATATAATTGATATCATTTTTTAATTAAAATGTTTTTAGCAATATCTTTATATTTTAATAAATTAAAGTTTCTATATTTTCTATTGATTTTTACGACGAAATGAAACGACCGCGCTTTGTAAAACAAATTAGTTTATTAACATTTATACACAAGAATACGTACAATCCATCAGCATCAGATAAATTATAAGCAAATTAATTATATCGAGATTACGTCTAACACTATCTATCTATATTTTATTTTAATGTTATTTTATTTTATTTTAATGTTACGTTCAGTCGCGCAAGCCTCAGCTAGCGCTTGTAAAGGACTCGCATTTATGAACGAATCGCCACCAACTTTCGCTCACGCAGTCACTCTCGCCGAAGGTGCATCGCATCCAACATCGATTTCAGTTTCGAGACAAAGCTTTAAATCTTTAATCAAGGCGAATATTTATCGTTGCTCATAAGCGCAACTCCGGAAATTCGTGAAGCGTCTCCTGTAGCGTTTCGAACGTCGAATCAAATAAATAAATAGCACTACGGAAATGATCCGTGATGTTAGATTAATAGAGAGAATTTATATATGAGAAAGAGAATGAGGTAAAATGTGTGTGTATTCTTTTCAACACGAGTAAATTATATGCACAGGCCGCATATAATAATTCACGCGGGAGATAACGAGACAAACTATAATAGCGTTTTTGTTTGCTGATTACAATGATATTAAATAATGATACTTGACAAATTGTCAATAAGTTTAACAGAACTTTTTTTTAGTAAGACAACAGAGACGTTGCGCGCGGAAATGTTTCGTGATGTTATCTGATTATTGTAGAGAGAATTTATGAGAAAAGAGAATGGCAAAATGTGTGTGTGTATGTTTGTTTGCGTATGTATTCTTTCTGACACGAGTAAACGTGCATGAAACGCATATAATTCATGCGGTTGATAACGACATAAATTACGATAGTGTTATCGGTTTGTTGATTACAATGATACCGAACAGTGATACTTGATAAATTATTATCTATAAGTTTAACAGAATTTTTTTTTTGGTAAGACAAGAGAGACGCCGATGTCCCACGAGATTCGCCGATTCGCCCGCCGGGTGAAATCACGGATCTGTGCCAAACGTTTGTGAAATTGAGGACATACACGTATATACACGCGAGAGATGTGTCTCTCGCGTCGGCGGCTTCCTCGTCGGCATTGTGTGGTACCCGCCGGGGAAAGTTTATTTACAGTCGAAGAAGGATTTTCAATCCCCCGATGCGCGCGCGGCTCGATGCACGACTTCGCGAGACCCCTGATCCCGAAGCGAGCCTCTCCGTGTGTGCGCGTTTGTTACGTGTGCATGTGTACGTCTTGTTAGAACTAACTCGAACAATTTTACACATATAGGCTATGTTGTAAAATGCTAATCGATAGAGTTTTGATCTTTAATGAACTTGGATTTGGCCTTTTTTTTTTCAATGGAAAACTTTTTAACTGAAGAAGCAACTGGATAAATTTTATTTTTTCTTTTTCTTATATAGAGTACAAATAATCTATTAGACGCACGCATTGGTAGAATAATTATTTAAATGACAATTATTTAACTTGACGAATTTTTGAGAATGGCAAATTTGCGAGCCGTATACTTGCCGAGGATAAATCGCGAGATATTTTTTTTCTCGAGCGTAATCATGGTCAAATCCAAGTGAAACGTAATAGCTAATGCGAGTCCGGCGAGATTTTCGCCTTCTTTCATGTCATGTCAAGCGCATGGATTAATCCTCCTCCTGTTAACATAAATATGCTTATTGCTATATACGGTTACGTTTTATGATTACGTGCTTCTTCGTTGCGTTCTCCGCCGTTGAAACGTGCTCTTGCTATTATCGACGAAGCCCCGGCAGTGCTCACGTCGCGGGCGCGCCCCGTATTAAGAATGGAAGAGAAAATCAAAAGGGACGAGGAAGCGAAGCTGGAGTCACACAATTATATTATATACAGTGTTTGCGCCGTCGCGAACTAAAAAACTGCGAACTTGCGTAATCGCGCAACGGGAAGGCCGTTACACACGGGCAGGCCCTTGTTAATACATACAATCGTAATTAATACCATTATACCGCTCGCAAAGAGAACATAGCTTCCTCGTTATGCCGATTCTTTTCCTCTCCCCGGAGGCGCCTATTCTTTGTTTGTCTCACGCTTCTATCGGTCGTCGAGAGATATGACGGAGAGTAAAATTTCGCGGAGGTAACTCACCGAGGGCAAAACGATTCGATTTCACTTGGATGCTGTGGTATTCAAGGTTACTATCGTCATGACTCGTGTACTATTGAATTTACCAAGTCATCCTGCGTCCTCTCGCGCGAGCTATGAATAACCATTCTTTATATATATGTACATACATGTGTATGTGTAAAATCCGCGGACTTTGTCATCGGTGTGCGTGTGTGTTTCAATATCAAAGGGGTTCGAGAAATTAAAGATTATTTATATAAGAATAGGTCAAGACACAGAAAGAAGGCGGATGATGAACGATAGAGAAAAGCACGAGAGGAAGAAGAGAGGGACACAGAGAAAAAGAGAGAGCTCGATTTCACCTTGCTAATATCGTCTTGTAGTGATTTACACGACTCGTCGAAGTTTTACATCGATACGTCTCTATTCTGTCTCTATGTATTCACGCGCTGCCCAATTTACCGCGATTATTCGTGGTGTATTGATAGTTCTTGTTGGGTAACGCGCCAACGTTCAACGCCAGTACCTTGGACACGATGTTGAGGTCCTCGCCACCTGGGCCCTGTACGTTGCCCAATTCACCGGCGACTCCCGATTGATAAAGCAAATGCTGGATCTGCTTGGCCGGTGTTTGCGCCCTTGTTGGGATCTGCCTGAACTGTAGGTAGGGATTGTAAACGAACGTGTTAGGGTTCCTTGGTAGCGCGTTGAAATTGAACGCGTTCCTCGACGGAGGCGCTTGCTTGTTGTCCACGTTCAAACCGAAATTGCCAATTGCGTTGAAGGCCTCCTGTCTGTTAAATCTGGTGGCCGGTGCCACAGGCGGCTGGAAGTCGGTAGGAAACGAAACGAAATTCTGTTGCAATCGCTGCTGATGCTGTGCAGGCTGAAGCTGGGGCTGAAGTTGGGGCTGTGGTTGGGATGGCTGACGGAACTGCTGGAAGTGCAACTGCTCCTGATAGTTCGTGCGAAATAATGGAGGCGCCGCGACGCTGGGTACCTCCAGGGACACGCTTGGTTGGAGATGAACGGTAGGCTCCAAAGGCGGCTGAAGCGGCAACACGTTTGACTGTTCGAAGATGTGCGGCTTTTGCGACAGTGGAAAGTGATTGTGTTGACGCAAACGATAGATCCTCTGCTCCTCCAGCTGCTTCAAACGCTGCTCCTCCAATTGTTTGATCTTAGCCTGTTCCTCCAAATGCTTGATTCTAGCCTGCTCTTGAAGATACAGTTGCTGCTGCTTCTGTCTCAACTGCTGATCGTAGATTTGACGTTGCCTGACGAGAAACTGCGTCTGCTGGATCTGCTGCTGCTGCAACTCCGCCAGTTGTTGCTCCAATAATTTCTGCTTGAACTCTAATTGCTCCTGAAGAGTGAGAGCCTGCCCATCGCCTAATTGCCTGTAAATCGGCACGATGCTCTTTGGTATACCAAGCTCGTCCTGTTGCACCGTGAAGGCCGCCACCAGAGGCGCCTGGAAAATTTTCACTTCCTCCGCCGGAGTCCTGTCTTTATTAGCGCTAGAAGACGAAGTGACATTATTTCTCGGCGGAACTGTCGGACTAGATGCAGTCGGTTTCGGTACTACCAGTCCGTTATTCCCGGCACCGGCAATCCCATTACTGGCGCTTTGCGTCAAGCTCTCCGATAATTGCGTGATCGGTTTCAGCGTGATACTCTCAATCTTGCTGACCGTAGCCGAGCCCGCGGGAGTCTTCGGAGTCTTCGCTTCCGCTTTAGATTCAATTCGCGGCGTTGTAGTTTTATCTGGCAGAACCACGTTCTGCACGTGGTAGCTTCTGGCGTCGTCGTGACTCGCTTTTTCTATCATCGCCGACGGACTCGAGGAAACGTACCTCTTTGACTCGAGAAAGCTCGAATTTTGCAGTTTTTCCTCATTGGGAATTTCCTCATCCCCAGGAAAACCGTCGAACGAGAATGTAGCTTTCGGTATCACGCCGATGTTCTTATTCAGATTCTTCTTGACCACTTCTTCGAAAGATTTCTCGACAGTCATGATGAGCGCTTTTTCGTCTTCATCCTTTCGCTGCTCCGCGGATTCGGCCTCTAGTTCCGTAAGCGCTCTCAGCAACGCTTGCCGTAAGTTTTTGTCGAGTTTTATCGGTGGTGGCGGTGGAATTTCGAGAGCCTCAGCTGAGATCTCAGGTTTCTGAGATCTAGCCAGACTGAAGCAGGTTACTGCTACTAAAATTTTTATGGCTACCTGCAAAATTATAATGAGAGATATTGAGACAATGCAATATTACGTAAGCTAGATGACATTCATAATTATTACAACTCGATATTCTTTATCGTGCGATGCGAAGGTAAATCGTTGTAGCAAAATTTGTCCCCCATGTCGCTAATAGATCGATCTCTTCAATCGCAATCGAGGGCTTCAATGAAACAAGGTCATTTGGGGAAAAGATACACTAGAATTTATTTATAAATGTGACGACATTGACGAGATTTTGATGGCACAAAAATGGACATTTATGACTGGTTTCACCATATTGATTCGAGAGAGATTGAAAGCTAAAGTCTCTGTCCGCCTCAGTCTATCTCCGTAAGTCCCGTTATGAAGTGGAAGATTCACAACGGCCCGTAGGCGATTTTCTCCTCCTAAAAACATGGTAAACACGTACCTATGGCTTTCGAGCCGTATGAGGGAGACCGGCGATTTGCATGTTTTATGTAATTACGCGAGAACGCGCGTACACGGCTGTCGTCGCCGAAAAGACGCACATGCATAATTAAATGCATACGCGAACATATTCTCGGAAAATTGAAAACTGTATAGTAACGAGCATAATAACAGGTGTAGTAAGCGTTTAGCAGAAGCTATTTATTATATAGTATTATAGGTCATATATAACGGTTTTTTTTTTTAATACATTACATTATATATAATTATCAAGTACAGGAATGCATTTTTAAAATTTTGTCAATCTCCCCACTTGCTACACACTGATCCCAAGAATAATAATTCGATGAGTTAGGAAGCGAAGGAGACGAGTCCCTTTAAGACCGAGGAAGAAAACGATAAACGCGCGAACTCGACGGGGATTCCATTATGCTTCTGCTGAACTCGAATGCAATTAGAAGCGCGTATCTTTAATTACGCACGTATGGAGCGCATATGCGCGGGCTCTTGGGAATAAACTTTGGTATTTAAGTGGAGAGAAACTCCACTTAATCCAGGATGGAGATGCCGCAGAGCTTTGTTACGTCGTCGCCGCGAATAATCGAAATTCAGCACGGTGAGGATTATTCGTAAAAACGCTCAAATTCTGTTACGTGCTTCATCTTGATTCTCGCGGAATTTTCAAAGTATCGCCAGTTTTATTGCATTCCGGCATTGGCGGGTAACGTCTATCATTAATACAAGTTGGGTTGTTTCACGTTCTCACGGTATTAAATTATGAAAGTAAAAGTAAATATTACATCGAAAGTGCTCAAGAAATTTTCTCTATATTCCTTTTGTTTTTAAGGTGATTTTACGAAAATTAAAATTAATGAACAACTCGTTTTATTTTTGTTTTGCGTCACGTTCGATATTGCTCCCTGGAGAATGAATAGCAAATAATTTTTTTCTTTATCAATCCATTAACAATAATCATCCTGACTTCAACGCCACACCTATAATTATTTGTCCCCACGCCACCTCAGGTAGTTACAAACGGGCAATTTGGGAAAGTGCCGCCTTTGATGATGCTTTTACGTTTAATGGCCGCGTTCCTTTCGTTTCCATAATGACACGTGACGATGACGAAGACAATAACGGGAGACTCTTCGTGCAATGGTAGCGTTCGATCGTTCATTATCAAGGCACGTTTAGATGCTATTTTAAACGAGGGTATCGCACGATCCGCCGATTTCGTGCCGGGATTTTATTCAAACGGATCGGCAACGTAATCCATCCAGACGGCACGAAGCCGGTTACGCCCCGGAAAGGCCACGAGCTATCCATCGGAAGCGATTTGTGGGTTTTGAACTTTCACCCCGATTGCGATCCGTCAAATTGTCGCGGTGGGAGCACCGGTATGACGCGTTCGCATGGCGCGTCAAGGAACATTCCGCGTTTTCGCCGGGGCCGTTCAAGCGGCGAGGGGAGGAGGGGAAATTATTCAAGAGTACGTGTCAACCATAACTCCTTGTCAACGGTGAATCGGTGAAAATAAGTGGATTCCTCCGGCACGCTAAAGTGCTCTTAAGTATGCGCAAACAAAGAGAGGGGGGAAAAAAAGAGGAAGCGCTAACCGCGCTGTATTACACGAGGGCCGTACCTCTGACATTTGTAAAGAAAGTTACACCGCACCCGGAGGAAACAACGGTATATACGACACGCCGGGGTCAACGACGCAAACGTGGAGAATTATCAAATTATATATTCATCGCGCAGCAAGCCCGGCTTAAATGCCGGTGCTTTTGCCGGTACAGAAGGGGAAAGTCTATTAGACGCCTGTAAATCTATCCCATAATTTACACATAATAAAACGGGGAACCGCCACGCGTTTAGCGTCGCTGCTGTGACGGTAAACTTAAGTAAAATTGTCCCTGCTCGTCTCTCCTTTCGGGTATAGGATCGCGCCTATGGATAGTTAATTTAGTTTCGCTGTATTAAACGTAGAAACGAGAGACCGCGGAGTATTGCGCGAACGCGACGCGACGGAGGCGTAAGATCATTAGAATGTTCATGAGGCCTTTTGTTCACTTTGAATCGCATACACGACGAACATCCCATCCTCGCGGCTATAAACCTGCGGGAGCGCTGACAGTAAAAATGACGGAGCGGCACGGCGGCGCATACCAACGGCTAGACAACTTTGGGAACTTTCTAAACCCGTAACAAGCATCCTCCCCGTACACCGCGGATGCTGGTCCGGCGTCTCATTAATCTCCAGGCGGTACATACAAACGGGAGGGGCAGGCCGGGCTTGCAGGTGTCGTATCTCTTAATAATGGTCTGGATGCTGGAACTGATTCATGTCGTGCGCGCTTTTGACGTTGGTTTTCACTTTCGAAACTCACCGACCGAGAATTCCTCCCGCCTCCCTCCCTCCCTCCCTCCCCCCTCCCCCGATCTAACACGTGTCACCGCTGCGACGGATTTATAGACGCAGACGTTAAATAATTTTCCCCACCGCACGTAATTGCAGAAACACGCTAATTAATCAACGACGAAAAAGTCGAAAACCGCATAAATATGTATATATATGCACTATAGGAAAGAAACTATCGCGAGGAGGAAGAGGAGAGGAATATGCTCTGCCCGCGCGATAGACTGTCCCCCAACCGGTCGTTAAAAGGATCTCCGGGGTCTCATATTTGGCTATCGCGAATCTTTGATTACGGACATTTTCGCGTGGCGAACTCCTGACCCGTCATTTTCCATCGCGGAGAATACAACGCGGAGTTTCACCGCGCCTACAAAATAGCTGAAACGCTGCATTGACAATACAAATGCGCGATAGAAGATTACATTGCTAAGGAAACCTCGGATTTCCCGTTGATTAATTCCGTTGGGGCCCGTTGAGCCGCGTGCATCTCGTTGGATAAATGTTGCGCCATCAAGATTGAAATTATCTTTGATTAAAATTTCGATGAAAGTTTAATAAATTAAGAATTAAGTCGTTTCCGTTTTATCAGATATGGATTTTATAGCTATATATACGAAGCGATATCGTCAACTGAATGTTTAATGAGCAGAACTGCCTCAATTAAATACATAACGACAAACATTAGCACCTAAAGTTAATTGCTTCACGATGATAATCGGACGGAGACAGTCGAGTCCCAGTTATTACAATCATTTTCGAGACCTCTTCTACTTCATTCGGAATGTACCGTATATCATTAAAGTAACCGATTTTCAAACAATATAATTAACTTTGAATGAAGTATCATAGATTCTTCTAGACATCGTGCGTTGCTAGACACAAGTCAAGAATAGAAAATGAAAAATATAGCCTTACAGATAAATATAATTAATCGTCTCGCTGCAAATCTCATTTCAAAGAATTTTTTTTTAATAAAATCCTGTATCGCTGAACGCTTGACAAAATTTACGATTGAAAATATGGGTCAGATAAAGCTCGTGAATAACAATGATACCGAGAAAACCTGTCGCGCGGTTAATCGAAGAGGAGGCGAGGAGAAGTCCGTTTCACGCCGTGCCGCGATCGCGGAGAGTGGGGAAACAGCGTGAGAGAACTCGTCACGTTGATCCGGCTCGCAATAACACTGTTGGCGCGGTGGAAGTCAGAAGATGAGGAAGAAGAAACCGCGAGAGCACAGGCGGCACTTTCACTCGGCAGTATGTCGAGGATGCGCAACGCTCGTGAACTTGCCTGAACGCGGCGTTGTACTCTTGCCGCGGCGTGACAGGCATTAAGACCCGCCGTCAGTTACAGGGACTGCGGGACTCGGCTTTTGTGCCAGATTACGACGAATCGGTTTGACGCAACATCGCCCGAGCCGGCAATACACGCCCGGCCGCATTTTTCTCACCGTCGTCTAACATCGACAGCGAAACTTCCTATGAAGCGTCTATCGAACGCAGGAAAAAGCGCGCCTGTAAATTTGCGCTAATTATATATGCGTGCGTAATACAAAGTATCAGATAACGATGTTCCCTCGCGTTAATAGCTCTTCTCACGTCCTCGATGGAGACGCATATACGAGATATTCTAAAATCCCTGACATTCTTTTTAATATTGTGAATGAATTCTTTAATGAGAGAAACGAATTCTTCAGTTAAGGATTTACGTTTTGCGCAATCGATGTACGTTGTAGAAATTGGTAATTAAAGGACAGGCCGGGTTTCTCCTCAAGATCATTAATATAGCTTCGTTGAGGACAAATTTTTAACAGAACTCTGGCAAAGTTCTTCTGTTTAAATAATTTTTGCGAAGACGTATTACTAGAAATTGCAAAGTTGTAACAGATAATAGTCATTCTGCAAATTTTTAAGGAAAAATCGATTTCTGATATAATGTAAATCTTAATTGTACAGGTTGACTTCAATTACGTTGAAGTTTTGAAAGGTTTGGAAAACGGTTGAGTCATAGTCAAGTATATTTGTCATTAAATTATCTTGATTATCGTTATTATACGTTTCCGACATAAATTTACATTATCTCAAGACCAACTCGGGCAAACGACATCTTATAATGAGCAAGGAAAATTGTTGGATTTATGGCTCTTTATTACTCGATACTCGAGCTGCCCGAAGTTAATTTAGATCTGAGAGGATTATACCCTAATCAATTTTGATCTTAGGTAATGACATCACATCCGACAACCGCATCCAGCGAAGACAATACGTGCAAAAAAACAAGCGGAAAAGCGCTACTTTCCGCGTCCGAAGTCGGTTTCCTTTCAGCGAATCACGCAACCGATCGATAAAATCTATTCCACTTCTTTTTTTAATCATTTTCTCAGATGCAATCGGCTTTTCATCGTTGGCGCCGCGATGTACCGAGATACCGCTCTGCCTCCCACATTTCGGACACGCGCGCGGGACACGCAGAAACGCGGAAATGGGAAACGTGAAAGCGCGGCGTCTCGGCGATGTCGCCAAGTACGTACCGATTATACAACGAGTCCTTGGTCGTTGAGTAACGCACAGAATCTAGCGAGAGAAGATGGGCCGATGCGCCCGAATGCAATTAAACGCGGAGACGCACACCACGACGTACGCCCGCGCCAATAGGCCGTATCATATCGCAAAACTCCACGAGAGAAAGTCGAGACGGGGAGCTTCCATCGAGAAGGACCGTGTCCGCCTCTGCCGCTCGAAACGGTTTATTTTGGCCCAAAGTACACACGTATCCATCAATCTAAATTGGTTCGAGGTCGATAATTGGCTAGAATGCTGCTGAGATTTCTATCTCTTCTTCTGAGATTGTTGTAGAAACTCCGCCACTACTTTCCTCGCGGCTTCGACCGTTAGATCTCGAAGGATCACCTACCAGACAAAGGGTGGTCGCGAAAGCATTCCACCGTCGGGTATACTTTATATATATACACGTAATACCAATAATGATCGAGAGCCGTGATAGTCCCAAGTCTTTCCGTGTAATCCGACGGCATGGATCGGGCATGGAAAGTTATCCGGGGCAGAAGCTGCGAGCCGGTGGAGGATACCGTGAAAAATTCGAAGCATGGGAGTGTCCCCGAGCGGTTAGACGCGATTGTTCCGCACGTCTTGCATGACCTTATGCGTATTGGAATAAACGCCGACGCGTCTACGGAGCTATGCGACGTGTACGAGAGGATGCAGCCGATGGGCGCGCGACTTTCCACTTTCGACGCGAAAAAATGGTCGATTCAACGGACCGCGAAACAGTACGTTCGCGATTATTAAGGAAGCCGTTGATTTACGGCGCCGCGCGTATAGATTTCTGCAGGCGTATACATATAGGTAGTTGGACGGACGGGATACGTCGAGATACATCGACGCGTCTTACGAAACGCGTCCGGAAATCTTTCCCATTCAGAGGAGAGGCAGGTGGAATCTCCCGGCTACCGTTACTATTACGTCCACGCCGCGTTCTCGATTAGATGCCTCCCGTGCTGCACTCCTAGGCGGCATGGTCGGCCGGCTTTCGGGTTTCGTAAGAACTTGCCTGCCGTGTAATACGTTTTATCCGGCTTATCTCGCTCTGTTCACAGAATGGATCGTTGCGGCGCTCGAAACGGAGGAGAGGAAAAGAAGTAAAAAAAAAAAGAACCGGAGGAGAAGAAAACTTTCTTCCCGCGGCTCGAAAAAGATGCCATCTGCTTTCGAGGGTCATCGAACCCGCCGTCTCCGACACACAGGTATCCACGCCCATCCCTCCACCGTCATCAATGCCTGATATAATTACTTTCTCTCGAAATGCGCGCGCCATCGACCAGAGAGGTACCTCGTCGGCATGACCGTGCATAAAAATGAAGGATCTCGAATGATCGGTTTAAGCGAAAGAGATCCTCGAAGGTACTTTTTCTCCGCGGAGATACACACACGTCGCGTCGAATTAGAAAACCGGAAAAACTGATCGTTCGAGATATAATCGGAGAAAATTATCTTATTGCGCGCAGCTCGCACCACACACAAATCCGTGGAATTGCAGCGCGCAGGCCTTTATACGATCCATCAAGTCAATTTGATTAGATTGTTTCTGCCCGATTGTTTATTTCCGTTTCTCCGCCGCGCCCTGTGCCGATTTCGAATGAACTCTCACGTCGTACTACGTGTTATCGACATATTCCCCTTTTGGTCCATTGATCGAACTTATACGAGGAGAGAGAGAGCATATATATCGTATGCATCTAGACCGCGACGAGCATAATATCTCACTTCGAAAGGTTTCACTGTCTTTTTCTCTCTTCTCCCTTTCTTTTTTATAACACATACGTATACATGTATACGTACACACTTTTTCCACGATACAGCACGGCGATCAATCTCGATCGCTTCAAAACTAACGACTCGCATGCCGACCCTCCGTTTCAGCCTGCCCGTGAAACTAATTCTAACGCTAATTAACGCGCCCGTGCTACATGACAACTGGGTCGTTAGAAGCGCATATCCATCAACGCGTATACATACACGGCTCGCGTGTTTCGCCTTGGCGCAATTCGCGAGCAAGTAGAAATTGATCCAGTGGTCCAGCGACTGCACCGGAGCACGTCGATTCATTAATGCGATTGGTAATGAGCCTAGTCGGTGAGCTTCACGGTGAATTGCCGTAAAGTGGACGCCGACAGGTAAATTGCGGAGACCGCGGGAGGACCGACCTCTTTATCTGAATCAGCGACTATAAAATAACTATATTTAGTTTCTTCGTTTCGAATTAATCTCGAGAGTTATACCGCTATGGACTGCTTTAAAAAAAATCGGCAAAATTAACGTTTATTAGCGTTTGTCACGAATTTTTGCCCGATAAGCGAAAGTCGTTTCCAAAAGCAAAGTATGATTGGTACTTTTTTAAAGCCTGAGATGTAGACTTTAAACAGAAAACGATTAGCTTTTGAACAAATATATATAATTAAATATTAATTTTTTGAAAAACAATATTTTTTTTAATTTAAAATATCTTTATATTAATTTATCAATATATAAACTATAAAGCATAAATGGAAAGTAGGTGTAACTTAAGCGAAGCAACTTTCAAGTTCTAATCATTACTTCTAAATATATTAAAAAGTGCGATCTAACAAAGCAACTATAAATAAAAAATTTGGTTTAGATCACATCCACAATACGTTATTTTTCAAGTTGCACGATATTGATATTAAGTATTGGATAGTTATATGTAATTTGCTATCCATAATTGCCACATGATAGCGCGTTTTCATTATTGAGAGTAGCAAAACCATTAATATTTATCGGAAATATGACATGACACGATTGCGCGTGAAAAATCGGGCCGATCGGACAAACGATTCATTAAACGGCTATCGAAAAAAAAAAATTCGTTAAGTAGAAAAGCTCATGCACATGTCCCTTCCGCGCGTACGATATGTACACTCGCGAATCTGGAAGTAGCGAAACATATGATGGAAGAAGAAAGTGGCCACCGTGAAATGCTCACATCGTCGGTTTCTTCGCAGGTAGAAACTCAAGTATCTACTTGAGTATCAATGCGTACGCATTTAGCTAGTACTAGAATTACTTGCGGGAGGACTGCTATCACCGAGTAATGGCATTTAATTTCATCACGTGTGACAACTTAACTTAAACCAACGCATGGATTATCGGACGTCGTACTCAACGACGGAAAAAAACAGGGAAAACGAGAAGAGATCGAACGCACGATATTATAATTTTTTTCTTTTTCAAGATATCCTAAATGGAACTTGTCTCTCGATTATTGATATTCGATTACTTTTCGTTTGCCATACGCGTTTTAAAGACCATATCAGACTACGCATTGGAGACCGAGGATTGCAAATTGAAAATTAGAATTTAATTATTCAGATAATTTTAATTTTAAAATTATCCCGTTTCGTTTCGGTTGGTTAAATTTTAATCTTCAATTCGCAATTTTTAATCTCGAATGCATAATTTGAGATACAGCTGGCTTCGAGATATTATTACGTTTGTGTCACCATCAAGTTTTTCTAAACCTGTACCCGATCACTAATTCGCACTCATCGAGATCGATATTATTCGAGTCACTGTCACTTGACACGAGAAATGCGTAATCCACCACCGCGAAGAGGAGAGCAGGAAGAGGATCGACACAGCTGATGTGTTTCGAAGAAACGAAAAGGAAAGAAAAAAAAAAGAGAGAAAGAAGAGAAAATCGAAGGAAAGTTCACTAAGCGGGAAAGCTGATCAGTGAATGAGTGGTTTCGTACTCACCAAGCGCATGATGCTGTCTGTGCCCACGCTCGTTCAGTACTCGGCTTTTACTTCGGGAAGATGATCTCCTGAATAGAGGTAGGTAGGTAGGTAGTGATAGTCCCTGATGTGCGCGACGGAGGTGGGGTCACGTACCCCACCGGTGTTAACACGCATATACGTACAAGTTGCACGTACAGGTTGGCAGGTTCACTGTCCAGCAGCTGCGGCGGTCTCGCCGCTTTCGGTCCCGTACGTCTCGCCGCGGATCGGCTCCTTTTGAATACCGCCGCCTGCGTTCCCGTGACCCATTTCCGTCGCGTTCCCGCGCGTTTCGCGAGCGAGGGAAATAGGGATAGGTTTATGTCAGATGAGTACGTGTCACGTGGCCGATATTTGAATACAAAAGCACTTAATATAGATACATATCTTTATACTCTCTCTCTCTCTCTCTCTCT